CGCGGCAGACCTCTCCTCTCTTGCCTGCTGCTCCCCTCAGCAGTGTATTTCACTCCATCTGCCTGTTCTGCTCCCCACTCTGTCTCTGGTGAATCCTCTCACCCCCCACACCTCTGAACTGTACCCCAGCTCTTGTATGCATAAATAAATAAATCTTTTTAAAAAATAATAAAATAAAATGAATTCAACGGTTCTTAGTATTTTGCATGGTTGTGTAACTATCATACAGTCTAATTTCAGAATATTTGTTGACCCCAAAAAGAAACCCCTATCCATTAGCCACTCCTCATTCCTCCCCACCCCCATATCTCCTTTCTATATGGATTTGCCTATAGCTGGAAATTTCATATAAATGTATTCATATAATGTGTGCCTTTTTAATGTCTGACTTCTTTCACTCAACATAATACTTTTAAGGTTCGTCTGTATTATAAGCAGGTATCAGTATTTCACTCTTGCTTAGTGCTGAATAATATTCCTTTGTATGGATACATCAAATTTTATTGATCTATTCATTAGTGGATGGACATCTTGGTTGTTTCTATCTTTGGAATATTAAGAATAATACTGCAATGAACATTCATGGATACGTTTTCATGTGAACATACGAGTTCAATTTTCTTGAGTATTTTCCTAGGAATGTACTGCTGGATCATATGGTAAGTTTCTGTTTAGCTTTTTGAGGACCTGCCAAGTTGCTTTCCAAAGTAGCTTCACCATGTTACTTTCTGACTAGCAACATGTGATGGATTTGATTTCTCCAGATCTTTGCCAACAAGGATCTTGTTATTGCTTATTTTTTTTAAAGATTTATTTATTTATTTATTTATTTATTTATTTATTTATTTATACAAGCACTGGGTACAGTCAGAAGCATGGAGGGTGAGAGAATTCACCAGAGCCAGAGCGGGGAGCAGAGCAGGCAGAAGGACCGAAGTACACTGCTGAGGGGAGCAGCGGGCAGCAGGAGAGGTCTGCGCGCCATGTGGGATCCTTGCCCGGCGGCTGGGTATCAAATCTGCACTGCGGAGGCTGCAGGCAGCTTTGCAGCCCAGCGCTCAACCACTGCACCACAGGGGAGGCCCTATTGCTTTTGTTTTTTTTTTAAAGATTTATTTATGCCTACAAGAGCTGGTCTACAGGCCAGATCCATGGAGGGGGTTGGGGTGTGTGTGCGAGGATCCACCAGAGACAGAGTGGGGAGCAGAACAGGCAGACTGACTGAAATACACTGCTGAGGGGAGCAGTGGGTGAGTCAGGAGAAGTCTGCTGTGCCATGTGGGTTGTTTCCTGGCCAGTTGGGGATGGAACTCGCACTGCAGAGGCTGCGGACTGCCTTATAGTGTGGTGCTTAACCCCTTGCACCACCAGGGAGGTCCTTTTTATTTTTAATTTTTTTTTTATAACCATGATAGTGCATATGAAGTGGTACTTCACTGTGATTTTAATTTGTATTTCCCTGATAAGTGATGGTGTTGAACATGTTCTTATGTTCTTATTGGCCATTTGCAAGTCTTCTTTGGAGAACTGTCTACTCAAATCCTTTGCCCACTTTTACATTGGATTATTTGCTTTTTTATTGTTGAATTATAAGAGTTCTTTATATATTCTGGAAACTAGGCCCTTTTTTTTTTAAGAGTAATTTATTTATGCATACAAGAACTTAGGTACAGGCCAGAGGTGTGGGGGGTGAGAGGATTTACCAGAGACAGAGTAGGGCGCAGAACAGGCAGATATACTGAAACACATTGCTGGGGGGAACAGTGGGCAAGACAGGAGAGGTCTGCCCCTCCATATGGGTAGCTCCCTGGCCAGCTGGGGATTGAACTCATGCTGCAGCAGCTGCAGATGGCCCCAAAGTGCTGCTCTCAATCCCTTGCACCACCAAGGAGGCCCACTAGGCCCTTTTAGATCTGTGATGGTAAGCAAATATTTTCTCCAATTCAATTCTTTTTTTTTTTTGAAGTTTGGTTCTAGACTTTCTGAATTTCAAATAGTTTATTAGACTATCAAATATTTAATTCTGGTACAGAGATGCGTCCTAACAGACACAGAAGATGTGTGATATCTATATAGCTAAACTATGCACAATCATGTGTACATGGAAGAATACTGTTTAAGATCATGAAACTATCTAAAATCATGAAACCAAGTGCAATTCTCATGAAGAGAGTAAGGATAGAGGGAAGGAAGAAGATGTCAAGGACTGAGCCATGGGGCCCTCTGACATTCAGAAGCTAGCAAGGAAACAAGCCACCAAAGGAGACTGAAAGTCGGCAACCAAGAGAGTGGGTCCCCAAAGCCTGGGAGGAAGCACAGAGAACAGGAAGTGACCACCTGGGTCAGATGCTCCTCAGAGATCAGTCAGGTGAGGACCAGAAATGACCATTGGGGTTAGCAACCTAGAGGTCACTGGCAGAGCTCACTGACTAAGGCCATGAAAGGAATGTAGAGGAAGAAAGTGTTACCTGATTGGCTCAAGAAAGAGCAAGAGAAGAGAAACTGGAGACGACAAATATAGACATGTCTTGTGCGGAGTTTTGTGGCAAACCTAGGGTGGCGGGTAGAGGGAGAAGTGGGGCCAAGAATGGTTTTTAATTTTTTTTCTTGTTTTGCTTTTAAGATGGGAGAGACAGTTTGTATCCGATGGGAATGATCCAGGGGGAGCCAAGAATGGATGACGTGGGGGAGCAAGGAGCAGTGTCTCTGAGTAGGTGCCAGGCTGCTTCCACAGGGAAGGCTGGCAATTGTCAGGGCACAGACAGGCCATCTGTAACAAGAGGCAGGGAGGCAGTGGCGGGGTAGAGGCCCGGCCAGTGGGTGTTTAGTAGGTGGCAGGAGTCTGTGGCCCATGTTTTCAGGGAAAGGAAGAAGCTGCTTTTCAGGCTGAGAGTGAGGAAGGGCTCAGGGGGCGGTCAGGACGGGGCTCCTTATGGAAAGTGTGTAGGGGAGCAATGCTCCGGGCAGCCCTGGGGTGCAGGTGAGCTCTGCGTCCTCCGTGCAGGGATCATTTCCTCCAGAGAGCTCCTGACTCCCCAGCCCAGTCACGCCCGTTACTGTTTCTTCCTCACAATTCTGACCACAGCTGAAAGGAAGTATTATCAACTGTGCAGTTTGTTTATGAATCCCCTCTCCCTCGCTGCACCGTCGGCCCCCAGCACTCAGCAGGGACCGTCTACCCGGCCCTGGCTCCTGTCTTAGCTGCCAGCTCCTGGCGCAAAGTGGAGTCTCAATGCAAAATTGTTAAACAGCTGAGTAACGAATGCCAGATCCCAGAAGCAGCCCCTCCTGCATCTCGGGGTGACCGAGGACTTCACCTCCGCGTCTCCAGCCTCTCCCCACCCCCTCCCCGGCGCGCAGCTCCGAGGCTGCACCGCGGCGCTGGCAGGGCGGCCGCAGCCGAGCGCAGCGCTGATTGGCGGTTTATTCCAGCGCGCAGGGCATGAGCGCATCCGCAGCCAATGGCCGCGCGGCGCCCCGCAGACCCCCGCACCTGACTGGAGGCTGCAGAGAGCGGCCGGCGGTGCGCGGTCGCCCTGCGGGGTGAAGAGCGGTGGCGGCGCGGGGAGGTCGGGTCCCGCGGACCAGACCAGGCTCCGGTCTCGGGCAGGTACGGTGTTCGCCCGGCTCCTCCTCCATCCCCCCACCTCCAAGCGAGGACACCCCTCTTTCCGCTCCCCAGCCTGCCTTCCTCGGCCCGACGCCCACGGAGGGGTGGGGGGTGCACCTGGCTTCCTGGGGCTCGTGGGCAGGGCGCAGCACTCTCCGTGGCCAGGTGTGGCCACCTGGCTCTGCCCTGAGGAGCCGGCCTGGTGGGGGGACTTCGGATGCTGGGGCCCGACTCCAACAGCCCTGCTCATCCTTCTGGGTTAGGCGCCCCCAGCACAGGCCTCAGAGCTGCAGGCCCCGGGTGAATGGCCAAGAGAGGCTTCCCTTCCTCCACGACTTCCTGGCCGCATCCTAGCTGGGGTTCTGGGGGGTTCAGCTCCCTGCTGGCTTGGGAATATGGACCTCCCTTTCCACCCCCACTCCACAGCCCCATCCTATTCTCCTCTCCCCCTCTCCACAGAGGCATAATGGGCGAGGAAGTTTGGGCCCTGCCTCTTCCAGAGGGGCCTGGGAGAGCAAAGCTGCCAGGCTGTGAGGCAGAGGCAGCTCTGCTGGCCTTTCTCTGAGCCCTTTCCTGTCCTGCAGTCGCTGCTCTTACCCTCTGGCCACTGGTGACCAAGCGCTCAGGGAGGAGCTGCAGTCAGGCCCTTGGAGACAGCATGGCCTCCTGGTCCCCGAGACAAAGCCAGGAGGACAGAGCCATCCGCAATTTGGGGCTGGGTTGACCTTGCCTTCCTTCCTCCATCTCCATCCAGAATCTTCCACCCTGCCATTCCGTTAGCCCCCAGGCTTGGAGGCCTGGCTCTGTGACCAGCTCTCTGCTGGGCTCCTTGGGGGTGGGGGCCCTTACTCACTGAACGCACTGACCTTAGAACAAGGGAAACTGAATGAAGCAGGGGGACCCGATCCTGTTCCAGGAGGTGCCGTTGCGCTGAACCCTGAAGGATAAATGAGATGAGCGTCAAGGGGAGAATAGACAGGACGGGGCAACAGTGTGAGGAGAGGCCTGGCACCAAAGCCCCCACCCTGGCCTCCGAGCGTGTGGCATCCCCTATGTTTCCTGTGCTCTAGGCATCCTTTTGCACCGTTGAGGCTCCATGAAGGCAGCCCTGGATCACCAATATCCTCAGGGCTCAAGGGGTAGTAGTTGCTCCAGAAATATTTGTTGAACTGAATTTGAAAGGAAAAGTAAACGGAGTCCTAAGCATGTCCGTGTTCAACTGTTGCCACCCCTTGGGGAAAAGCTGGCTGGGTGAAGGGGTGCTGCGATACCGAGGTCGCAATCTCTCCACTGTTCAGTGCAGGGAGCCGGGGTGCAGACGGGGTGTGGTCCCGGCCGGGTCCTCCCTGATGCCTTCGTTCATTCCAGGTCCCAGCCGTGGGGCGGCGTCATGAGCCTGGTGGCCTGCGAGGGTCCGCCTGGCCCTGGGCTGGAGCCGGAGCTCTGCTCACGAGCACGGTCCCAGGCCTCCGTGTTCCTCGAGCAGATTCGAAACCGGGTGGCACCAGCAGCCCCTGAAATGACGAAGCGTGACTACCTGGTGGATGCAGCCACGCAAATCCGGCTGGCCCTGGAGCGCGATGTCAGCGAGGATTACGAGGCGGCCTTCAACCACTACCAGAACGGCGTGGACGTCCTGCTCCGGGGCGTGCATGGTGAGGCCAGCGCTGGGCAGGATGGGGGTCTGTGGGGAAGGTCAGCGCAGGGCTCCCTGCCATCCATCCGTGGCGCTGGAGGGCAGGGCCTCATAAAGAACATTCTGGTAGCTAACATTTATTGAGCGGTTCCTACACACCAGACACGACTGAGCATTTGCCCGTGTGAACTCAAGCTTCACAGTATTGAAGCTACTGTGCGTGTTCTTGCGTGTAGTTTCAAGTAAGTAGGAACTAGTTTTAGTCCTGTTTTCCAGATAAGGAAACTGAGGCGCAGGCAGGTTAAATAGCTTGTTCAAGGCTCTAGAGCTATTAAGTGGCAGAGCTGGGCAAGAGGGCACCCGAGGCCAGGCTGGGCCAGCACAGGGCCTTTTCTGGAAGTCAGAACTCCAGTTGTGCAGCTGAAGGGCGGGACAGTGCTCCCGAGAGAACAGCGCAGGCCTGGAGGTGAGCGGGGAGGCCTGTTCAGGCCACTGGGGCATTTCTACACCAGGTTGAGGCTGGCTTGGAGGCCGGTCTGAGACCCCAGTGGGTCTTGGTGGCCAGGCTGAGGGTGGGAGTCGGGCCCCCATTCACACTTCCTCGGTGCTGGGGACCTCTCAACGCCTGGGCCTTAAGCCTGCCCAGTGAACTCCTTTGTCATCCCATCCTGACCCCCGTCTGACCTTTCGCACACTGGCCATCAGAAATGGAAGCAGACAGGCTCTTTCTGGGAGCTTCCGTCTCACAGAAATCCTCGCTCGGTCCCTTCCTAGGGTGTGAGGGCTGCCACTAGGGCTGGGTGCCAAGTGAAGGCTGTAGGCTGAGGGGAGACGTGTTCCCCAGCCCCTCTGGTCTCCCACCCGGAGGAGGAGCCCAGGAATGGAGGAGGGGGTGGGACCTGCTGACCACCCTCAGGAGCAGGCTGTCCTGGGGAGGGCAGAGGGCTGTCCTGAGAGCTGGAACCAGCCTTTCAAGGCAGGGGCCGGGGGCCGGGGTAGGTCCTCCTGACACCTTTTCCCTCACAGTCGACCCCAACAAGGAGCGGCGTGAGGCTGTAAAGCTGAAAATAACCAAGTACCTGCGGCGGGCAGAGGAGATCTTCAACTGCCACCTGCAGAAGGCGCTGGGCAACGGAACCACCCCCGGCACGGTGAGGAGCCCCCCCCAGGACTGAAGCTTGGGAGGGGAGAGAACTGAGCCCCCATAACCACAGACCAGAGGGCTGCTACCTCCTGTCCTGGACAGGTGGGGAGGCAGGTGGAGAGGCCAGGTGGGGAGGGCAGGTGGGGAGGGCAGGTGGGGAGGGCAGGTGTGGATGCAGATGGGGAGAGAAGGTTGGAGGGAAGGTGGGGAGGCTGGTGGGGAAGCAGGTGGAAGAGGCAGGTAGGGAGGGCTGGCGGGGAGGGAAGATGGGGGGGAGTTGGGGAGGGAGGTGGGGAGACAGGTGGGGAGACTGGTGGGGAGGGCAGGTGGGGGAGACAGGTAGGGAGGGCCTGTGGGGAGACAGGTGGGGAGGCGGGGGGAAGCAGGGGGAGAGACAGGTAGGGAGGGCCCGTGGGAAGACAGGGGGGGAGGCAGAGGGGGAGACAGGAGGAGAGGGCAGGTGGGGGGGCAGGGGGAGGCAGGGGGGGAGACAGGTGGAGAGGGCAGGTGGGGGGGCAGGTGGGAGACAGGTGGGGAGGGCTGGGGGCCCATTTGTGTGCCAGGTGGCTCCCCCGCGGGCATCCTCTGGCTCACTCTTCCCACACCCTCCACATTCCTTCATTTCCAAGCACTTGGGGAATCACCTCCAGCGCAGTGTGGCGCTTCACAGTGCCTTACACACCCCTACCCCCCCTCACACAGCTCAGAGCCACGCGTGTGTGTGCACCAGGGCTGTCTCCCAGATTGTTTGTTCTTAAAGGAACCACAGTGAGTGTTTGGAGTAAACATGAATACCCACACGCACACATGTGTGCACACACCTGAGTACACACTTTGGGGTGTGCATATACAATGCACAGATCCCTCGTCTCCCCAGACATCATTTCCTAACCCAGTCGGCTTCCCAAGAGGGTTGAGCATGTACACACGCGCCTGGCCCCAGGAGACCTGCTCGCCCCGTCCCCCTCGTAGGCTCTCTGAGTCCATGAGGGCAGCTACCCAGGCCACACGCCTTGGCCTGCGAGACACATGCCTTGAGACCCACAAGCTCCTAAGTTACTTTTCTACCCGGGAGCATCTGCCTCCTATGGATGCGGCCTCCCTGGGCCTTGGAGGAGGATGGGGGGGGGCAGGGAGGGGCTCAGTGAAGAAGGGGCCCCCTGGGGCCAGCGTGGGACCCTGGCGGTCAGGGCCAGTTTCTCCACTCAGCCTGTCCCTGAGGGGTGGAATCTGCCTGTCCCCCAGTCCTGCCTGCTCTGGCCGCTGCTCCCCTGGAAGCCAGAAGCCCTGCGCCTGTCTGGCGAGGTGCTGGCTGAGAACTTGGCCCTGACGCCGCTGCGGCCCTTCTCCCTCCTCTGCAGGGTTTCAGCAGCCTAAGGCTCCGGCCCATCCGCACACTGAGCTCTGCCCTGGAGCAGCTGAGGGGCTGCCGGGTGGTCGGGGTCATCGAGAAGGTGAGTGAGCAGACTCCCGTGGTGACGGAGGGGTCATGTATGCAACTGGGGCGCGAGAGCAACCACCCCTACTTCCCCAAAGGGGACTGGGAGGGGTTTGAGGGTGTAAGGGGAGGAGAACAGCTTTGGCCAGTGGTTCCCCCGACCCCCGACCCTCGCTGCCCCAGCACATAGCCGTCCGGTCCCAGAAAGGAAGACAGGACCAGAAGAGGCAGAAAGCCTCTCTCTGCAGCCCCCCAGCTCAGGCACAGAAAACCTGCTCCCTCGGAGATTCAAGACAGAAGCCGCAGAAGAAGCTGTGACCAGGGCACCCTGCCAGCGCCACTACTCTGCTAGTTTCCACTTCCCACTTCCCACAGGCCCCCGCCCCTGCGCCCCAGGGAGGCAGCCAAGAGTCTCTCCCACCAAACACAGCCAAAAACTTCCTGAGGCAAGAATGTGCGCGACTCCAGAAACCTGGCTGCACGGGCTCCAGGCGGACCTGCGCATGGCCCAGGGCCTGGACACCCCCATTCTCCTCCTGACACCACGGGGCCCTGTCCCTTAATTCCCGGCAGAGAAGAAGATAGGAGATGACACCCCAGCCTTTCCTGGGCCACTCACTAGAGGGGGGGATTTCAGAGGGACACACATTTTGGTCAAATGAGATCGAATCATTATTTGATTGCCCTCGGCCCAACCCCAAGGAGTCGCTAAAGCAGTTCTATATCTCACAGCCTGTTTAGCAGAATTACCTGGGCAGCTTCCTAAAAATACAGATGCTCAGGCCCCGCCCCAGACCTGTTGAGTCAGAATTTCTAGGGTTGAGCTCAGGAATCTATCAGGAAAAACACCACCAGGGGATTGAGCGGGTCTGCAAACCCACAGAGAGGAGACGAGTGTGGGCTTCCCCAGGCACCAGAAGAGGAAGTGCTGTCTGGGTCCCACACTGTGTGGCCCAGGGCAAGTCCCACCCCCCCCCCTTCCCCGCCCCAGAGTTTGGGTTTCCTTATGGGACAAGAAACCTCCCCCACAGGCTCCTCTGGGAACTGAAATGAAATAATTGTTGGGAAAGGCCTGGCACATGCTAAAACAGTTGATCCATGCTTGAGGGCTCTCAGTGCCAGTGACAAGAGCGAGTCAGGAGGCTGCAGGCTTCCCATCCCCGGCCTGGCTCCAGCTGTTTCTCCCCAGGCCCTGGAACGGGCCCCAGTCTGTCAGCCCAGGCCCAGCCAGCTTCCATCTGTGGCCTCCTTCCCTCCCGCTGCACAGTCCCTTGGCTGGGTCACAGCCCGGCCTTGGCCTAGCACAGCTGCTCCCACGGGAGGTGACCGACGCCGTTTTTTGAGGGGAGCCCATCTCACTATAGGTGTTCTGGAGAAAGGGGTTCTAGGTCAAACAAGTTTGGGCAACAGTGAGTTAGTCACTTTGCTTTGTTTTTCTGACTGTAGGAGTTTTCCAGCGCTTGTAGAGTGCAAATACACACCAGGAGTCTCACAAAGAGGTCTGTGACACAGAATTTTCCAAATTGGTTTAACCCCAGGACATGCATATGCAAAGCATTTTCAGAATCCACTATTCTGGGGCCTGTGTGCATGGAAGGCACGAAATGAAAGTCCAAGCTTTCTGTTTTGAGGTCGCCCTTCTCTTTTACCCTTTCTTGGCACTTGATTTACCTGCTCACCTCCCTCCCGAGATCCTGCTTCCTCTCCTGTGATGTCCAAGACAGGAACACCACTTTCCCCGAAGGCCACGGTCCCAGGGCTCTGCAGCCTGGCCTGCGTGTGCTGTGCCCACTCCCAGCCCCACAGCTCGGCCCTGGTGCAGGTGGAGGGCAGGCAGGGAGGAAGCAGAGGGCTGGCGTGCCTCCTCCAGGCAGGCTCAGAGGGCTGGCGTGCCTCCTCCATCGCAGTAGGTGGAGCTAGCCAGGGTGAGGAGGGGGTCTCTCGGGGCTGAGGCGAGGTGGGCTGGCGGGGAACGCCTGGGGACCTGCTCTCGGGGAGCTGAGAGCCTGGGAGACTTCATCTCGGATTTGCTGAGGCTCCTCCAGGAACCAGGCTCTGAGTCAGGGGTGGGGAAGAAAAAGGTCATCCAAGTCACTTCTTGTTTTTTTGGTTCAAAAATGGGTTGTTTTTTTTTAATTAGTTACCAACATTGAAAAACTGGCAGGTTTTCTATAGAAGTGCAGATTTCCTGCTGCTTCTGAAAAATCAGAAGATCTGGAGATGCTGGCTCACGTCCAGCGGGGCGGCAGGCGCAGAGGAAGGCCTGCCCGCTTTCATGGGGCATCGGTCCTCCCGTTGGCTCCTGCCCCACCCTGCCCGCTCCGCTCACGTGTCCGCCCTTGTGGGCCTTGGAGTTTGAGAACCTGTTTGAAACATGTGGACTTGTTTGCTCCCTGAAAGAGTCCTCCAGGGATTTTGATACTTCGGGCATTTGAAAAGAGAGTGGTGATGTGTTTCTCCAAAGCTTTAACTGGTCCCATGTCCCAAGAACTCTGTGGGGTTCTTTAAATAATAATAATAATAAAAGGTTTCCCTTTCGACAAAAGTGAGAGCAGGCCCCCAGAACGACCCGTGCCTTCCCAACAGCAATGCGCAAATACTCATCTGAACATAAGGCACGTTCTTGTTCACTAAGTTGTTGTATTAAACCCTCTAGTCGCCCTGGGGAATAAAGCATATTCTCTGTGGTCCCGCCCAGGAGCTACTAGCCACATAAGACTATTTCAATGAAAGTTAATTAAAATTAAGTATTCTGTTTCTCAATCTACCAGCCACACCTAATAGCTTCCATATTGGCCACTGCAGATATACTGTATTCCCCTCAGGTCAGAAAGTTCTGTGGACAGTGCTGCATTTTATTTTTTTTTTAAAAAGATTTATTTATTGGGCCTCCCCTGGTGGCACAGCGGTTGAGCGCTGGGCTGCCCGCAGCCTCGGCAGCGCCAGTTGGTTCCCCAGCCGCCGGGGAGGATCCCCCCCACCCCCACCCCCACACACAAAAGATTTATTTATTTATGCATACAAGAGCTGGGATGCAGATCAGAGGTGCAGGGGGCTGGTGAGAGATTCACCAAAGGGAGCGGGGAACAGAACAGGCAGACTGACTGAAACACACTGCTGAGGGGAGCAGCGGGAGAGACAGGAGAGGTCTGCCGCGCCATATGGGTTGCTCCCTGGCCAGCTGGGGATGGAACTTGTGCTGCAGTGGCTGGCAATAGCTTGGTAACACTGTCTTTAACCCCTGCACCACCAGGGAGACCCCAGTGCTGCATTTTGATAACTGTCTTACAGAGAATGCAGTTGAGACTCATGGAAGTCACGTGATTAATCAGTGCTCTGTACCCCACAGCTCTAAGCAAAAGAGGAAGGGTAGTATTTGTGTGCTTGGTATAATGGGGAAATGCTCCCTGTGCTACCCTTGTATTTTTTTGAGATATAACCAGAAAGGATTTTTAAAGCAGGAAAAAAAAAAAATCCCCTACCAGTCTACCAAACTCCAAGATAATCACTATTAAATATGTATCATTTTAACACACTTATTCCGATATACTGATCAAGTTTTATTTCTGGCTTCCTCACCTTCACTGTTTTTTGGGGGTTTTTTTGTTTTAAGCTCTGATTATGAGAGAGGCTTGCCCAGGACATGGTGGTGGGGAATCCCACTTGGCAAGGGGCAGTGGGGGATTATCCTGGGTGTCAGCACTTGTGGGAAACTATGTTCTCCTAAATGACCCCAGATTTTTCTTCCTTTCTTTTTCAAGCATTGCACAAGTTTGGTCAGGGAGCAGGGGCCAGGCTGGCCTTGGAGTCTGGCTGTTGGAGGGAGCCCTCTGGCGGCCAGCAGGCCTCGCTCGCTGGTGCTGCAGGAAGGGCCTTCAGACTCCACCTTCATTTCACTGGTGTTGGGGAAACTGAGGCCCCAGCCCCAGAGGGGACGGCATATGGCATGATCGCCTGGTTGTGCCTCTGATCGCAATTCTGTTTCCAGAGGCCCAGGATCAGCCTGCCTGGGTTCAAATCCTGCCTCTGCCACCTTTCAGCAGGAACTATAGGCAACATAACCTCTCTGAACCTGTTTCCTCATCAGGAGAAGGGGTGTGGGAAGCAAATCAAATAATCTCTATATCGTGCTCGGCAGAGAGTGAGCGCTGTCGCCGGCGTGTGGCCTCTGTACATTCACGTCAGCCACAACCACTGCGGGCTCCTGAGGCCACGTGCGGCCCGAGCTGCTGTCCTGAGCGGTTCCTTTTAATCAACTCCCCCTGTGCCCTTCGGGAGGGGGCGCTGCAGGAGCACGATCAGAGGGCACGTGTGATCACTGACATTCTCACGGCTTTTGCCTTCCGGCCTCCACAAAGCAGTTGTGAGGGAAGGTGGCCATTTGTATTTCCTGTTTGGTAGTTGAGAAAATCAGTTAAATTCACTTACCCAGGCTCTAAACCCGGCGCCCCTTCCCACCACAGCCCTAGTCTGTGACTGTCATCACTGCCCAGTGGCCTGCCACCATGGGGAGTGTCTGTAGGGCAGGCCGACAGCCAGGGAGCCCCAAAGCCAAGCTGCTGGTCTTGCCCCCACTTGCCCCTCGTTTGGTCCAAATCTTCCACTTTCCTGCCCCGACGTGCCCAGCATTCCCCTCTTATGGCTGGCGCTGTCCTTTGCCCACCACAGACAGGAGCCAAAGGCCCAATTCCAAGCAAGGCCCTAACCCAGCAGAGTTGCCAAAACCTGCAGGCGGAGGGGTGGGCTGCTACAAAGACGGTCTCGAGGGGACGGTTTAAGGAAGGCAGCGGGGCAGCCTGAAGGAGCAGATCAAGCCTGCGCGCTCCTGGGCAGGGCTGGCCACGGCGACGGGGAGCCACACTCTCAGGGCTTCTTCAGCTGTAAAATGAACAGCCAGAGCTGGTGACTGGCTCTGAGGTCCCTTCCAGCCGTGACCGCCTCAGATCCTGCAGACTGGACGCCACTGCCTCGCATGTGCAAATTTCCCCCTGCATCCCTAGCCCTCACGGAGCTCACAGCCCGGGGAGAGGAGAAATCAAACGCAGCGTGATACGTCTCCCCAAGGAGGCCCAGAGGCCACTGGAGACACATAAGGAGCCCAAGATTGAACTGAAGGTTGGGGCAGCTTCTTGGAGGAGGTGGCACCAGAGCTCAGACCTGTAGGTCTAACAAAGGCAAATGGGCAGGACAGAATCAGTGTCAGCTTGGGGGGCAGGAGACATCCTCTGCACCCCTAAAGCCTGCCCTCCTTGCCTGCCTGTGGGGTGGGTCGGAGGAACCTGGGGCTGGGGCTGGGCCCCGGGAACTAGCCAGCGCCTTGACCCGTGCCTCCTGGACCTCACAGGTGCAGCTGGTCCAGGACCCAACGAGTGGAGGGACCTTCGTGGTGAAGGCAGGTGCCGCCTAGCCCCTGGCCGTGCTGCATTCCCCTTGGAACTTCCTCAGGGATCTTGGCAATCCCTACCTGGGGAATCCCCTCTTCAGAGCATTTGTCTGAAGCTCATGCTCCTTCCAAATCCACAAGCTGCTTGCTCTGCAACCGCTTGCCACACACACACTGCCTCAGCCTTGGCCTGGAGGGTGGAGGGACCTGGATTCCCTGGAGAGAAGTATGTCAGGGACCGGGGGAGGCAGTGGGTTCTCAGGCGGACACCCACTCCTCTTCCAGTTGCCCCTGAAGCCGGGCTTGGTGGTCTCTGCTCCCCAGCAACACTCGGTCTTCCCTGCCCCCTCCCCAGAGCCTGTCCAGGTGCCACGTGGCCAGCCGGGAGAGGCTGACCATCATCCCTCACGGTGTCCCCTACATGACAAAGCTGCTGCGCTACTTCGTCAGCGAGGACTCCATCTTCCTGCACCTGGAGCATGTGCAAGGTGAGGGGGTCGCGGGACCCCATCAGTTCCTCTGGCCTTTGGGGTGTTGTCCTGTCTTGTCTGTTAAAATGCTGCGCCTGGGGGCCAGGGGTGGCTTGCACCAGCGGCTGCAGGGGACCCCGCCTTTCTGGAGGAAGATGGCAGGATCAGGCCCTGGTGGCCCGTGTGGTGCAGGACGTCCTGGAGGTGGTTCGCCTCCGGGGCAGGCGGGAGGGCACCCTTTCCTTTAGTCTTGGCTCTTTCTGTTGTCCAGTCCGGCCCGTCCTTAGTGGCGCCATGGGACGGTGGTGGCGACGCAGTGAGAACAGGACCTGAGTCATGCAGCAGCTGTGACCACCTAGGAGGGGGCCAGTTGTTCAAATGAGGCTCACGTCCTCGGGTGATAACGTCAGTCAGCTCGAGCCCCTGCCTGGCCGTCTTTGATTTTACTTAAATTCATGACACTGTTCCCCACAGTGTGTCTGACACAGATCCTATGTTGAACACTGGCGAATTCGCTACCTACACCGAGGACATTCATGATGGTTCACTTCTCTTTAGGGGTTAAGCACCTATTTTGTGCCAGGCCGTGAGGTGAGAGTTGAGGAGAGGGCATTGCAGGCTGACAGGGCCCTGGCAGGCAGTAGCCATTCCCAGCACAGGGAGGCAGAGCGGGCCCGGGACCTGGTGCCTATACTCTTCTCCTGTCCCCATCCCGGCCACCCCCTCTGCATGGCCCAGGGGGCACGCTCTGGTCCCACCTGCTCTCCCAGGCACGCCCCCAACCAGCTGGACTCAGGCCTGGCACCAGCCTGGAGAGGACGAAGGCGCAGCTCAACTCCGGCCTCAGCCTCCGGACCCCAGCACGGCTTCCCCCAAGCCACACCTGCCTCCAGGACAGAAGGCCCCTGGGGCCTCCTCGGACTTCTTGGAGTCTCCCCACAGCCAGGGAGGCCCCATCCCAGAGAGAAGCTGAAGGTGACCCCTCAGCCAGGACCGGCGCTTCCTGCCGCTCAGATCTTCCAAAGGCCGCAACTGGCCGCCTGCCCCCTCCAGGCAGGCGGGGACCTGGCCAGAACTCGGACACAGGGTCCCCTTGGGGCCTCTCTTGGGTTCGAGAGGGGGCTGGCCGGGTGTTGGGGGGCTGTGGCCAAGGCAGAGGTCAGAGCCGCCCCTTGTCGGAGGGAGCCGGTCTGAGGCCTGGCGGGGGTGCCTGGCGCGTGAGAGAAGAGCAGGCGAGGCAGTGGGCAGCTGAGATGCTGGTGGCACTGGAGGCGCTGCACGAGCAGGGGGTGCTGTGCCGGGACCTCAATCCCCGGAACCTGCTCCTGGACCAGGCAGGTAGGTTTGTGTCCGGGCCTGGGGGAGAGGAAAAGGCTGCTCCCACTCCTCACCCCTACTCTCACTACGAATAGCTCCCCAAAGTCAAGGGAACTGTGGGGGCGGGGGGCCCCCATCCTCTGGCACTGCCCATCCCCTGGTGCAGGGGTCTGACTGCTCAAGCCCGAGCCCGGGAAATCAGCCTCTTTTCCCCGATGCTCTGAGCTGCAGGCCCTGTGCCCTCCCCCGGGCCAGGGGCCTAGTGATGAGTAACTGCAGTGTGTGCCCCCCTTCTCCCTCCCTCCGCGCCCTGGACAAGAAGGTCACGTCCGGCTCACGTATTTCGGCCAGTGGTCGGAGGTGGAGCCGCAGTGCTGCAGGGAGGCTTTGGACAACCTCTACTGTGCTCCAGGTGAGAGGAAAGAGAGGGGCTGGGAGACCTAGGGTGCCTGTGGGGGGTGGGGGGCTTGAGGATGACAGCGGGCAGGGGTCAGCAGGACGCGGGGTGGACGCCTGTCCTCTGGGGTGAGGCTGGGACACGTGTGTTCTTATTCCTGCAGAGGTGGGTGGGATTTCTGAGCCGACGGAAGCCTGCGACTGGTGGAGCTTTGGGTCTCTGCTGTATGAATTGCTGACGGGAACGGTGAGTAGCTGGGCAGGATGCGGGGCCCTGGTGCCTGTGGCTGAGCACAGGATGGGCTGCGCTTCGTCCGGCGGCTGGTGCCAGGGCGCAGGCTGCTGGCTCTCCAAGACCTGGTCGTTGGGCTGATGTCCAGACAGCACACTCCCCACCTGCGCCCCAGCTGCCCCCACAGGCCGTGAGAGACAGGAGCCCACTCCCACCCAGGCCCCGGACACAACTAGCACCCAGAGATTCTGGAAAAGAATCCTAGAACTGGGCTAGGTTTGGAGAGTAGAATTTGACACCATCCTTCTTCCTTGGAAGGCCACCAGATCATGCCCCCAGTATTCAGTCCCCCCGCCCTTCTGGAGTACAGCCCCCAGACTTTGGCTAGAGAACGTGAGCGAGGGCCTCTCTCCCCCAGGCTAGCCACTGCCTTTCCAGCCTGGGTCAGCCAAGAGCTCAGAGTTCCGCCTGCAAACACCCTAGCTTGGCTGGTGGCCTCTGCCCCCTGAGCTCAGCACTGCACCTGGACTGGTTAGGTCAGGCGCGGGGGAGAAATCAAACTGCCTTTGAGCAGGAAAGGGCTGGAGAAAATGCAGCGCAACCCGAGGTGCAAATGTGACCATTCCATCCTGACTTCCTCCTGCTGTGCCTCCGCCCAGGGCCTCTGAGAGGCCTGGCTGCAAATACCCCCCAAAGAACGGATCTCTCTTCAGTAGCCCACCTCCATGCCAGCCCAGGCCTGGCCTCCCTCCTGGGTGCTTTTCACAGTGCACCCTGACCTCCACAGAGAGCTCTCCGCTCTCCCAGCTACACCCTCTGCCAATGCAGAGAGGCCCTGGCTTCTTCACTTGCCACAGCCCTGCCTGGTCACGTGACATCCCATGGAGAATTTTTTTCTGTAAGGAGTTTCCATACTGTTCTTGATAAGTGTCTGCTCCAATTGCAACCCAAGATCGGTGCGTCCAGCAGGCTTAGCGGCAGAGGGACCTGGGTTCAAACCCTAAACTCAGCATGCTTCTTTCCCCCTGAGAGGGGATGGTAAAATGGGGGACGCTCAGACATACTTTGAGGGTTGCTGGGGAAAATACAGATAATGGACGTCAGGCGTCTTCCGTACATGGCATACAGTAACTCCAATGCAAAAGGCAACAATATCACCACCACCACCACCACCCCCCATGTGAGAGAGCTGCCCCTAGAGTATACAGAATTTCTTGGGGCTGCCTCCTCAGAGGTCCCTTCCTGTGTCTCCACAGGCACTGTCCCTGAGCCACCCCTCAGGATTCCAGTCCCACACCCAGCTTCAGCTGCCTGAATGGCTCAGTCGCCCGGCGGCCTCCCTGCTGACTGAGGTGAGGTGCAGCCGGCTTCTGGGAGGTGGCTACTTGGCCTCAGGGTGGACATGGGGAGGGCAGAGACCCTGTGTGGGGACAAAGCCTGCTGAGTGCTAGCTGTCTGACGTGGATACATTTCTATATGCTGTCTGCCAAACCACCAGTGTCCCCCAGGGTAAAACTGGGGGTTCTGTGGGCCAGACTGGCAATCACCACAGGGGCAGGCCATGGTGATTAGAACCCTTGGAGGCCAGCACTGGGGCTGGCCCCCGCATTGCTGTCTCAGCACTGGGGCTGGGAGGGCCTGCGAGTGCTGACTGGGCCTTTCCTTGCAGCTGCTGCAGTTTGATCCTGCCCGGCGCCTGGGCACTGGAGGAGGTGGTGTCAACAAACTCAAGTCTCATCCTTTCTTCAGTACTGTCCAGTGGAACAAACTGGTGGGGTAAAAAGGGGGCAGGCAATGGATGCAGCTGGACTGGACTGGAGCTCCTCTCTTCTCTGCGCCCACCACCCAGAGCAGCCCCTCTAACCAGGGGGCCTTGGGCAAAGAACTCAGGACAGCGGCCTTTCCTGCTCGGCCTCTCCGTTGGGTCTCGGAAGTAACCACGGGTACTGCCGGAGGGTCAAGGGAGTCCCTCAGCCTGCTTCTGAAGTCCTTTCTGGTCACTGCCGAGGGAGAGGGACAGAGAGATGCACCCTGCCGGGCAGCTAGGATCCCGCCACCCTCCACTCGTCAGTCAACAGGTACCTGCTGAACACACGTGCCGTTCCTTGGACACAGGCCCACCAGGCTAACGGGTGCCTTCCGTCTCATTAGCTCCGAACTAGTGACCAGCCACGGAGACAACTGTGAGGTCTGGGGACTCACTGCCTGCCATGTTGTGACACTGGGGACATCTTGGACACTCATCTCAGGATACTAGTTCCCTGGCTAGTGGACCCACACCAGGGCTGCCCTCACTGGCTAGCTTAGCCTCACAACTAGTGGACATCTTCCACCAGAAGCTACCAGAAGCCAGGGTTGGGGATGCTGGGGAAGCAGGGAAGACGTCTGTAGCGGGCGCGGGGTGTGGTAGGGGTAGGAGCTACGTTCCCCTTCTGCCCAGACTTTACAGAGCAGAAGGGAGAGGAGGAAAAGGATGAGGAGGAAAGGAAGAAGTTTCCTTCTTCACAGCTCTGCCACTTAAAGCAATTTTGAAAACAGACTTAAGAGGTCCCTCCCAGCTGCCCCACAGCCGAGAAGAGACCTTACAGCCTGGAGCCACTAAGACAAATTGCACCCCCTAGGATTCCCTCCTTGGATAGTCCTCCTGTTTTCCATTTTAGCCTTGAGGGGCCACTCAAGTCACTGCCCACTGTGACCTCATCCCTTTGGAAATGAGAAACCCCACCACACAGGCAATGATCGCCCAAGCTTTTAGCCGGAAGCAAGATGTCTCTGGCCTTTGGAGAGCTGGGGTCAGCCGTTATTCCCAAACACAATTACCCCCCAGGTTTGGGGATCCTCTTAAGATTCACCCTGTCACTGAAAGGGCTCCCGAGAGATTTCACCAGCCCTGTTCCCGCGCCGCCCACTGCTGTCCCGCCCCCACTAGGTGGCGCCTCTGATCCCGTCCTTTAGTCTGGCTGTGAAGGCCCAAAACTCTTAAGGCCAAGGGGAAGGGCAGCCTGTGACTGGCCCTGGCTCACTCCGGAGCTTCCCAGCACCTCCCCTCCCCCTCCTATGCCCCAATAAATTCTGCTGTTGCCTGTGGTGTCCAAGCCTCACGAATGCAGTAACAGAGCCCTAAGGAAGGGGGAGATAGAAGGGTCCCCAGAGAAGCTCCATGACGAGACTGCTAGCAGGAGGCAGGTCTGGTTGTGAATAGCATGTCAGCCTGCGCCCTGCAGACCCGCTTTGAGCCCGAGGGTTAGTGCAGGCAATGCTGGGGACACTGGGCTGCGTGGGCAATCTCACGAGTTTTCTGGGGGTGGCAATACTAGTTAAATCCTGACTCCTTTACATAGATGACAACCTGAATCACTGGAGTTTGAAGAGGTTAGTAATGGGAACTGGTCAGGGCCTGGCAGAGCCAATGTTTACAGGCTGATGTCCCTTCTGCACCCCTAAGTCAGGCCAGACCACATCCCAACTACTGCTGCATGAAGCAGGAGTTGCTTATGAAACTTCTGGGCCTTGCCCATGCAATTGACACAGCACTCTGGCACCTGCTAGAATTTGAGTCTTGAATCCTGTCCTCCCAGTCCTAGGCTGAGTCTACCTCCTTTTGATGAGGTGGGGCTAAAAACCTCCTCTGTAGGTTTACTAGAGAAATTAAAGTGTCTAGCACCATTCTTTGGACCTAATGACTTAAAAACTGTTCTTTTCATTGAACCCAATTGTTTCTTCTACTTACTAGCTCTAGTTCTATCCTCTGGAGTCACTTCATTCTGACATACCTTCAGAGATGGCATCCCTGCTAGCAAGACCAGGCTGCTTAAGCCTGGACACCACCATGCCCATCACCTGTAGATAACCTACATTAGCGCCTACTTCGGTCTGTTCACCTCAGACCCGCTCCTAGGTGATTACCCTGTTGTCTGTACTGACATGGAAAAACTTGTTACACATGTAGCAATGCAGTCCAAAATACAAAATTAGAAGGCCCCACTTCACCCCAACCCATCCATAACACAAACCTCCCATTATCTGCTGGTATTCTGAAGGGGCTTCACAAAGTAGGAGCCAATTTCTCTTCAAGAGTAAGGCTTGCTGGCTCAAGGGGCTCACTAGAAAAAAGCTGGGGTGCTTTCCCAGCTGGCAGATAGAGGTCCACCTTCTGTCAGGTAGTATTAACATTTGTCAGAGGTCTGGGACAGCATGCACAATGGGACATAAGTGGCTTTCAAGGCCAAGCCACAATCAAGTACTGGAGACTGGTACCACCTCAGTAACCAAAAGGACCGCAGAAGCAGAAACCCAGTTTGAGAATAGTTGCCCTTTAATTTGCATTTAAAATCAGTTTCTTTAAATATTTTACTTACGAGTTCTGAATAGTGAAGACAGAGTAGATGCTGCAGGCACTCAGTAATGGCTCCCAACCCCTTCCCCCCCGCCCCCCCACCCAGGACTTGCTTCTTTGTTCAAGATACAAGGGGCACTCTGCACTGAAATGGCTCCCTATGTCAAGTGTCAGCAGCCTCAGGCCTGTATGTAGTTGGATACAAGGTGATGAATCCCAGTTGCTTTCAGCAGATGTGTGTTCACCCATGCTCCAAGGAATTCCAATGATTGTGCCCAGATAGGTCAGCCATTTCTCCATCGTGTACCAACATCCTGGGGCTGGTTTCCAGCACAGTCCATCCTCCCCTAGATCTGTGTTCCAGAGGAAGAGCTAAGGCCCCGCTCCCTGGGGGCCACAATGCAGAAAGGAACAGAACTGCTTCTTCAGTCCACGTGCTTATACCCACAGAATTTAAAAAGCTCAAGTCAATCTGAGCCAGTCCACAGGGAGCTTCCCTCACCCCAACCTCTACCATGTTCCAGCCGTTGGCTGTGACCATGCTGTCCCACTGCCACAATGTGCTACAATCTGCTCTAAATGAGAACAATGAGCTAGAATGGTTGCTAGCAGCCTGGAAGCTAGGCGTGACTGTGTCTATGGTCTTCCTGGTGAGGCTATGGCAGAGGAGGAGGGCAGGCCTGGGTTCTGCTCCAGTCTTGCTTACAACCTATGACCTCGGGTAACGGGTAATCTGCCTCTCTCCCCTCAACACAGCCTGCCCTGCTCCCACCCACGTCCCCTGGCCTGTGCTCCCTGGAAGAGGTAGAAGAGGCATGTTGAAGTCAGTGACAGCTGGGAATGAAGGTGCCATTTAAGAAGCAAAGCACCTCTTGGCCTGTGGTCAATACCTCCACACAAGTGGAATCAAGTGAGCATGTGCACAGCCAGGACGAGGCTGCTCTAGCTTGGGAGCATGGCACCCTCCGAGGTGTCTCTGGAGAACAGACCTTCAAAAGACAGAAACTTAATCACATGGTCCCTGATGGTTTCCCTATAGTATACTGGCACAGGGGAGAAGCAAAATCATCTCTGCAGAGGGAGGGCTGATGGAAGAAAGGCAGGAATTATTAATGAGCATCCATTAAGGCTCTCTCCCTCTCCCTGAAGCCTAAGGAAGTAGGATAGAGTGTAAGAAGGGTGCGAAGAAGAAGAGAGCCTGGCAGGAACACCAAGAAAAGACCTGCAACTGCTGGTTACGTAGTGCCCTGGCTTCCTTGCTCGATGCCAACAGCATGTGCCTGTCTATCACCAGGCTAACCCGGGACCCATGAGGGGGCAGGGAGAAGACTGGTTTTCAGTTCCTGCACGGTCAATGTGTAGGGCGTGTGGTTCCTCCTAAAGGTCCAACAGGAGGACTCTGGGATCCTCTACCGCTGCTTTGATTTTGCGGAGGAAAGTCACAGCCTCTCTGCCGTCGATCAGCCGATGATCATAGGTTAGTGCCACGTACATCATGGGCCGCACCTCCACCTACAGAAAAGAAAGGTTGACAGGTTTGTCTATTGCAGGGCAGAGAATTCCCGCTGAGGGACAACATGAGAAAGCACAGCACACTGGCAAGTTCCCAGGTCCAGAGCCTTTCTTAATGATGTTGCTTCTGGACACTTTCAATATTTTCAAAGACCAAGCCTCACCCTTTAGTGCAAAGTACCTCCAGCTAGAAACAAAAGCTCAATTAAGAAAACAGGAGTCTCCTCACAGTTGTGGGGTTTGTTTAACATGTTCTAGCCTCGTGTTCATCTGCTGTTTACAAGGACAGTTCCCTCAGTCTGGTGGCCTGCAGTTCCGTTTTTTAGCATTATAGTTTTTAAAGTTCTTTTAACCTGGTACCCACAAATTCTCTCAAATTGAGTGCAAGTTGCGTATGTGAGGATTTTTAGGGAAGATTTATCTAGGACTTTCAGATTCACAAAGGAGTAAGTGACCCAAAAAGGTTCTAAACACAGGCATCCCAGAAAATGTTTCCCAACCAACATCTTCTGACCCCTTAACCTCATTTCCTGAATGCCCAGATAGCCGCCACACCTCATCAGACACCCTAGCCGCACCATCTGCTCCGCACTGTCCTGTCCCAGGGATGAAGACCATGGCGCCAATTTCATTTCCACCTCCCACAGCACCCAGAGCTTGCTGGCACAGATAAAGGAGACAGTCTCCTCCTCAGCTCAGGAGCTCTCAAGCTTTAATGCCCATCAGAATCATCTGTGGTTTTTGCTTCAACAGGTCTGGGATGTGGCCCATGAACCTGATTTCTAACAAGTTCCTAGATGATGCCAATGATTCTGATCCACACACCAATGTGAGAACAGTGCCTTTGGTATTAGTTTAGAAACAGGAGATGAAACTTACACCTAACATTGCAGTAAATCTTGAGTAATCAGCATTTAGATTCCCTCTTTATTCATCGTCTAGCCGCAAAGACAAAAGTGATGGTTCTTACCTTGCCTCCCACAGCCACCGGCCTGTCAAAGATGCCATGCATGCCTAGGATGGCAGACTGAGGGGGGTTGATGATGGGTGTTCCAAAGAGAGAGCCAAAAACGCCGCCGTTGCTAATGGTGAAAGTACCACCATCCATATCTTCAATGGCAAGTTCATTCTTTCGGGCCTAAAAACAAGAGATTTCGTAATTGAATATAAGGCCAACACAGCTTTCTTTCTTTCTTTTTTTGTAATATTTATATAGTAGAAGAACTGGGGTATAGGCCAGAGGTACGGGTAGGGGGTGTGTGTGTGAGAGGATTCACCAGAGACAAGAGTGGGGAGCAGAACAGGCAGATCTACTGAAATACACTGCTAAAGGGAGCAGTGGGCAAGACAGGAGAGGTCTGCTGCACCATATGTGGGTTAGCTCCCTAGTCGGGATCAAACTCAGGCCACAGAGGTGATAGTGCTGTGCTGAGACTTAAACCCTAGGCCAGCAGGGAGGCCCTCCAACCCAGCTTTCTATACTCTAAGATAAGTCCAGAAGGCTCACATCTGTGATCAATAATCCAGGTTCAAGTTTCAACATGAAAGTTGTTCAGGAGACATGTGACTACTGCTCCACCAGGCGAAAGGGTGGCCACAGAGTCAAGACTTCAGGACCTTATCTTTTCCCAGCAGGTCTCACCGGATGAGACCATCAGTCAGAAGAGCATGCTACGCCCCACCAGATGTCTTCAGCTCTTGTGGGTGAGCACGATCTCAGGGGCTCTGCACTCCTTCCAGAACAAAGGGAGGCTCCAGCCCCCCGAGCACACCCACCACGCACCCTGGCTCCCTTCCCCTACTTGCCCAGCAGATCCGATATGCTGCTTCCTACTTTACCTTCTCTCCCAGTTCACTAATGGTTTTCTCAATATCTGCGTAATTCATAACTTCCACATTCCTGATGACGGGAACCACCAGACCCTGAAGAGAGTCAAACACTGTTTACAACTGCAAATTACTAGTCCCCTTTAAAGTTACAGCTCCCTTGATTTAAGCCAGTGGTGTGTCCTCCCCAGAGTAATTATTTAATGCAATTAATAAGAAGTCTAAAGAAGTCTAAAATATTTAAGGTCTGACATCAAGATAAAAATATATGGTCAAAACCAGATCACCCTATTACTGACTCCCTTCAAAAGAGGCAAAATTATAAAAACGATCTTATTTTTATAATAAGATCTGCTTCTTCATACAGAAAAGGTGAAAGTATAAAAACAGAACTCCCCACCTCCTGCCTCAACGTACCCTCGGGGTGGCCACTGCAACACTGATGTCAATATAATCCCTGTACACCACTTCTTTGGTTGCATCGTCAATCACTGCAAGAGAGAAAACACATATTACAACTCTCCAGGCCTGGGCTACTGAGGTATTATATGCATCAACAGAGTAAAAGCCTTGCAGTGTGGACTGACCACCTAGCAAGACAACCATTGCAATAAAGAGGCAGCTAGGATGCCTCTTAGCCCATAGCAACCACTATAGTATCTCCGGGGAGCCCTGATGATGCCTGAGCAGAAAAGTAGCCATTTCTTGGGCAGCGCGCAGAAGAGCTCAATACATCAGCGCACATACGGTAGGTATGGGCCAAGTTCTTGTTAACTAGCTCTACTCAAACCCCCCTCAGCTAAAAGGCTTAAGTAATGCTCCAAGGGGCCTCCCCTGGTGGCGCAGCGGTTGAGCGCTGGGCTGCGAAGCTGCCTGCAGACTGCAGCGCCGGTTTGATCCCCGGCCGCCAGTGAGGGTCCCACATGGTGCAACAGACCTCTCCTGCCGCGCCCGCTGCTCCTCTCAGCAGTGTGTATTGTCAATCTGCCTGTTCCGTTCCCCGCTCTGGCTCTGGTGAATTCTCTCACCCACCTGTGCTTCTGACTGTGCCCAGTGCTTGTATAAATAAATAAATAAATCTTTAAAAAAAAAAAAAAAAACTCCAAAAAAGTAAATTCACAAAGAGGAGGGATGGTGCCCATTCTCGAGAGGTAGGGAAAGCCTTTTTTGAAGAGACTCAGGAGGAGGCAGGGTGGTCTGGCTTTAAAGTGCTAGCCTGTGGTAGCAAACCAGTGGATGAAAACTTAGGCTAGTGCTTATGAGAAAATACAGGCTTGGGAATCTTTTCCACAGACAGTTCATGTTGTATTGTTAGATAAGTCACCCAGAAAAAGCCTGTAAAGTAAGAAAGAGGCTGAGAAAACTCTGGGAAATGCCTCCATGGACGTACAGGCAGAAGTAAGGGGCCCATGGAAGAGATGGAGATAGTCAGGAAGCACGAACAGAACTGAAGGAACAGAGGTCTACATTTGGGCAAATAAAGGCTCCTACTCCTCTTCATCATCTAGAGTGTAACACTCAACGGATGGAACTAGGGCTTTTATTTCTAGATTTTGAGAGACCCTGGCATTGCTGAGGATTGCACAAGAGTCACTGTTCCCTCTCCAATCTTCCAAGGAACAGAGAAGAGTCTCAACAGGAAAGAGAACTGCTTATTAGGTCATTTCAATGACACAGTTAAGTTTAAAAAAAAAGGGGGCACCAAGTTCATGAATAGGGACCAAGCCGAAGGCCTCCCAATGGAAGCCCATTAACCAGAAATCAAAGGTCACCCTGGAGCAATGCCAAGGGTGGAAGTCAGGCCCCAAGATAACAGGGCCCACAGGAAGGCTGGTGCTAGGGAATGTGAACTTCCACCCTGACCTGAGAAGCCTGGAGAGCGGGGCTGGCTCACAACTGTCTACTGCCAAGGTTGCAGCCAAGCTATACAGTAGGAAGAAACTGTTCTGTACAGGTAGTGGGGGACAAAGTGATCAAGATGCCAATTTAGGATGGTGAGTCAAGAAGTTCTGGGGACTTTACAAGCAGGAAATAAAAAGTCTTGGCCTGCTGATCTCCTTCCTTGTATCTGTGCGTGTGGGAACAGGTCTCTGTTTCTACACATACCTCCCAGAACGAACCTCTGTGATTCTGGCCATCATGAACTCACCTGCGTTTACAACAGGCTGCTCCTGCAAGGCATATGCTGAGGCCTTCACAAATGCCGACATGAAGCCTAGTTTGAGGTTATGTTTCTTCAGAAAACCATCCTTGTGCCGAGCCCTCATCTCCTGGATGTTACTGCAGAAACATATTACAAAAGAAACTGACCACAAATGAAGCCTCAGTTTTGACTTTCATACTGGTTTCTAACTCCATGTACACAATTGGGTAAGCTTTTCCCCTTTACTCTGCACCATCTGCCTAAGTTCAAATTTTGAAATAGTCCACTAGAGGTCAACACAATAACCCCGTTCCTTTGCAAAACATGGATAGGAAGGAATCAAGTCCAATCTGTCTTTAAGCTCAACTGAGCCCTTTACAGGGAGGGCTCCTTAGTGTTCCAGAAGTCACAGATTTCAGTGACAGGTAATTCAAACAAGAGATCACACAGCATACCAACATCCTTCCCCTGGATGAGAAAATGATTTCTAACTACACAAAAACCATAAGCCACCTACCATGGGGCAAAAAAAAATTTAAAGCATAAACAAAGTCCACACAAAATACGGCAATATTCTTTATTTCTTGTTAGAATTATCTTCAAAGAGACAAAAAACAAAACACCAAATCTGATTATGACTTCCTTATGACATTCCTATCTCCTGGTTAATGAACCAAAGATCCTCTACAGGTGTACAGGCTCCATGTCAGCAAAAGCAGTCGTGACTATACAGAACCCAGCATTCCTTCAGGCACATGGAAAGTCTTCATTTTCCCAGAGTCAGTTGTTCCCTCTACTTGGCCCTCCATACCCACCACCTGTGAGGGTCCCTGCTATTCAGAACCCTTAAGACAGTTCCTGCCCTGAAGAGTAGTTTAATGGCGTGGTTTCACTAGTGCTTAGAAAAGTGAGCCTGTGTGGACCTAAGCCTTTAAAGCACAAGCAACAGGACCTCTGAGAAGCCTTTGCAATGTGAACAGCATTTGTTCCTGCAAGGCTAGTTCCACATGTGCACACCACATACGCACCGCTGAGTTAGAGGGAAATGGCCGCCCCAGCATTTTGTTCTAGAAACCCCAGTATTTATGAGATTACAGTTTTGCGAAGGAAATCACATTTAACTTTATCTCGGGCCCAAATGCTCGTTCCTCCCTCCCTATAATGGCCTAATTCGACATTAGCATGAAAGATAAGATGGTATAACTTTAACTCCCTCCTTTGGACCTTTTGTTTTTGAAAAAAGACGTTTTCCTAAAGGGGCTGATTGGGTTTAAAATGTTTGTTTTCCTGAGTCTAACCTTATTTAGTACTAGGATTACCACCCTAAAGACATTACTGGTTCCCAAGACACAAGAGCTGCAGAAGAGGGAAAGAGAAGTGATAAATATCTCTGCCCTCAAAGCTGCCCAAATGCTATTGTCTGGTCATTAAGTAGTTTCTATTTCAGAGCTCTGCCCTTGAGCGGGAGGCTGGGACAAAAGGGGAGAGAAGGTGGTCTCAGAAAGGTCCCTATGGTTTAGCTGATCAGCACAAGACCCAAAGGGCACTCGATCTAAACCTTATTACCAATTGCAGAGACCCAGGCCACTGTTAAATGACACCTCGATTAGCTGCTGAAAGGAGATCCAGCTGCTGCACTTACCATCCAATCAAAGCTGTTGGGCCAACTACATCTTTCAAGGCCACAAATATTTACATGTTTTGTCTTAAGAAATTGGGTAGAATTTCTAAGTCCAATTCAATTTGTGTACAATTTGGTCCTAATGCACTGAAACATGAGCTGCAGCCTTTGTGATTCATTAGTCAAGGTCCTTCCTTACATTCTACGGAGAGGACAGAAATCTTTGACTTAAATGACATCCAGTCTTTTTCAGCAAGCTTCACAACGGAATGGATGGTATCCAGTGAACTAGACCACAAAGTGTTACTCTTCAACAATGCCGCACAGCACACAACCAGTACACCACTCCCTTCTCTCTACTTTTCAGACCCCTTCCACAGGGAAACATTTCCCTAATGAAAAGTAGATTAGCAGATTAAACACTTAGGACAAAGAAGAGATGACCTGAAGATATGATGATATGATGACTTACTTCCTGAATTAAATATAAACTTTTAACCCAGAGTTTAAAACATTCTGAAATAAAAAAAAAATAAAATAAAAAATAAATAAAAAAATAAAACATTCTGAAATATAATCCAACTTTATCATTCTTTGCTACATGATCTCCTTGCAGTGATGTTTCTCATATGCATCTTGTACTTCCCTGTCCGTCTGGTCCATACTGTTAATGTCTGAAAAGACCTTTCTCTACAAGACCTGTGTCAAAATGCTAGTGGTTCTTTGATGGGTATTAAAAATCTCTTTACTCCAGGTAACCTTTCCTAATTCTGCCCTCCCTACCTCTGCACCCTACCTCAAAAATAAATGATCTCATTCTCTTCTCCATGTCATACTCTGTTTTTCTAGATTCTGTGTCTATTCAAACCACATGGGAGTGTCGGGACTCTCACTCATGTGTGTCCCCCTCAAATATAGTGTCTTCGAATACGTGTATCTAATATACAGTAAGCAATCACAAAAAAAAAGTTTGTTAAATTTAACTAAAATCTCTACAGTGCAGATACCTATAAACTTCAAAATCTTGAAGAAAATAGATGTGTTAACAATTAGCTCGCTATAGAAATAGATATACTGAATTAGCCTCTTTAAACATTCTGAAGTTTTTATTTAAAAACACAACGTGCTTTCGCTTCCCCATCAAAGCTAGGGAAAGTTAAAGTTATGACAAGCCTATGCCTTTTCACCTACCTAATTCTGAGTCACTTAGGAAGCAGTAACTGTAGAAAGCAGCAGCGTGTGGTGACCAGGGTCTAGCTCTGGGCATGCTGCCAAGTGGTTCTCCATCCCAAGGGGGAGGCCCGAAAACCAGCCCTGTTGGCCTGGCTGCCCCACCTCTACTTGGCGACTCAGCACTAGTCAGCGGAATTTACGATTATCCTCAATCTTTGTTTATCACAAATTACAAAACTCAGACTAGAAGACTAAGTTTCTAAGTTGCAGAGGAGGCAGGCATAGTATTAGAAAAGTCCATCTTTTGACTTTTGACAGAGAATGAAACCAGTGGACCACTCTGTGTTAGTCAACAAGTAGGGCAAAGATATAACTCTTCTCTGGTAAGTGAATTAAGCCATCAGCCACTACTAGGCAGGGACCTGGGCAAGTGTGGTCCAGGGGAATAAAAGGACTACAGCTCTCACCTCATGTCAATCTCATTGAAAGTAGTCAGCATTGCACACGTATTCTGGGCCTCTTTTAGACGCTGGGCAATGCGCTGCCGCATCCTGTTCATTTTCTCCTAAAAGTGAAAGTGGGACAAGTAATGACAATCTGGTCTCTTTGGATCAAGCAACTCTCGTTTGGTCAGAAGGAGCACTCAGCTTACCAGGAGTGAATGGTCAAGGACTACAGTTCGTAAGTTCAAGAACTCCAGATTTCCTCTTTCTTATGGCAGCCTTGCCCCTTTGAGCAAGTATGAGGAAAAGACAAAAGCTACTAACTCAGATGTGTATGGAGTCTGACTAAAAATAGAGGCCCAGGAAATGGTATGATTTTTAAAACCAAAACCAATTTATGAAAAGGAAGAATGTGGCATCTGGCTAGCAAGCCTAAGAATCATTACACACAGGGCAATTTCTGGTGATAAAGTCTGGCATGAGACTAGCTAGTTGTGGAATGGAAACTCACAAGCAACAATCCATTGAAGCTATAGTATTTTGAGGAGCTATTCTTAGGCAGAGGAACCCACACTCTTGTCCATACTTCCTTGAGGTTTTATGTCTGTCCCTGACAGCTACTACTACTGGGTAGCCCTCAGCTAAGTATCCTGGAAGTATGGGAATAGAACTCACTAAACCACCTCTCTGAAGTGTGTGTTCTTGTGGGAGTGAGGGGGTGAGTTGCTAAGTTACCATCCCCTGCAAATCAGACAGTGCAGTGGTGGCATGGGATAGTGGGAAAAAACCACTGGACAAATGTTCAGAAGCCCTCAAGGTACAGTCCTATCCTTTGACAGTTATCTGACTGTGAACAAATCACTTCTTCAATGCAGCTTCCTTATCAAGACCATGGGAATGAGCCACCAGTAGGTAGGCACTACCATACCTACTGTCCAGGAGTCTCAACACTGGCCCCTCTGCCCTTCCCAGAAGTGGTCCCCAAAGGCTTACCCGATGTTCTGAACGCACACCTTTGCCAACTCCCGGCTCAGCTACTAGAGAGGCAGCAGTAGGTTTTACCGCAGACACTGAAAATGAAGAGAGAGAGTACAGCTACATCAGAAAAATGAGAGAAACAATAAATGTTTTGAGTAGCTAATAGTGCTTTAACACTAAAATGCCACTTCATCATCAAGATATTTTGAGGTGGGCCTCCCTGGTGGCACAGCGGTTGAGCGCTGGGCTGCAAAGCTGCCTGCAGCCTCTACAGCGCTGGTTTGATCCCCGGCCACCGGGCGAGGGTCCCACATGGCGCGCAGACCTCTCCTGCTGTGCCCGCCACTCCCCTCAGCAGTGTACCTCGTCAGTCTGCCTGTTCTGTTCCCCGCTCTGGCTCTGGTGAATTCTCTCACCCTCCTGCGCTTCTGACTGTACCCAGTGCTTGTATAAATAAACAAATAAATAAATCTTTAAAAAAAAAAAGATATTTTGAGGTATATTAGTATGACTCCCAGTTTACAAATGAACAATCTGCTAAGACAAATTAATAGGTTAAGTAGCACTGATGTAAACAGAAAGCTTGGATGCAAACCCGGGTCTCTGATACAAAGTCTAGAGTTCTTTTGACCAAACAGCCAACGAAGCCTATTCAGAGACATGATTAGGCTCAGACTTTGCCCTCTGAGGGAACATAACATTAGGTGAGATGCTCTTCTCCCACATAAAGACACGTGGGAGGCAGAGGCTTACCCGGTTTGCTAGCAGGGGGTTGTGAGGGCGAGGGCACTGGTGGCATTTGAGTGGGTATGGATACTGCAGGGGGTGGAGGAACTGCTGACACTGTAGGCTCTGATTTTGGGGGTGCAGCAGCAGGTGCTTCAGCTGGCTTGGCCTTAGCAGGAGCAGCTAAAAAAAAAAAACAAGAAAAACAGATTCCATTTACACTGTCTGGAATGGAAAGCAACCAAATCAGAATTTAACAACAGCAAAAGTTCTACCTCCAATCAAAACTAATGCTTTCTGGTTATTTACTATCTATGCACGTCATCATGAGATACAGATAATGACAAAGGCCATTATTCTACTATTCCCAAGGCCCCCAGAAGTCCTATAAGTGATTTAATTTAGCTGCCTTGCTGAGTTCACAAATATCTATTAGTCATTAAATTCAGCAAGTACTTTCAAATTACCTACTAGACCCATGGAAATGTAAACTCCAAGTAAACGCCAAGAAAAAGAAACCCAGGCAATTTAAGATGTTGAAACACACACACACACACACACACACACACACACACACACACACACACACACACACACCCTTACAGGTAACATTTCTAATTATGGTAATATCAACAGTCTCATCTACTCTTGAGTATTAAAACAAAAATTTAAATAATTAAGGCATCAGATTTAAGAGTTCAAAGTATTCATGTAGGATAACTCATAAATGAGGTGGTCAAGTAAATAAACACATAACTTAAAAGTAGATGTTTTCTGATTTTACCCATCTGAACATCAGATCTAGTTTTATATTTAAATTAGAAGAACACTTTTTTAAGGAATATATCAGAAAATGGAATTCTTCCACTGAAGAACTGATCTTTTCTCCTAATCTTCTACTAAATATTTTTTTTCTATTTTGGGCTATTTTTCTATTTTGGTCTTGTCCTGCTCAATCTCAATGATGTGATCTACCACCTCAATTATTTTAAAAATGACAAAGAAATCAACCTCAGTGTCAGACCATTTAACTAAGACTTAGAAAAATCAGAGATTCTTTTCGTATCTCTAATATTAACAATGAGGTCCAGTACAAATTCATTTGCTTATTTTTCATTTCTTCAAGAGAAGTAACAACCCACCCTAGGAATGTTATGAGAGAACAGATGAGGAAAAAACTAGACTAAATTCTCTGTAACAGACACTCTGAAATATTGTGTCCTGGTTGGGTATCAGAATCACTTGGAGAACTTTTTAAAAAAAAATCTTAACAGAGGAGCCTCCCTGGTGGAGTAGGGGTTAAAGACACAGTACCATCGAGCAATGGCCAGCCACTGCAGCACAAGTTTGATCCCTGGCCGGCCAGGGGGCTGGCCTACATGGTACAGCAGACCTCTCCTGTCTCACCCACTGCTCCCCTCAGCAGTGTATTTCAGTGGATCCACCTGTTCTACTCCCCGATCTGTCTCTGGTGAATCTTACCACTCCCTGCACCTCTGGCCTATACCCGAATTCTCGTGTGCATAAATAAATAAATCTTTTGGACAGATAACCAGATAGCACAATCCCTGAGACAGGGAGTCTAGGTATTTTGTATTATTTTTAAAAAACCCATTCTGATTCTGATGTTAGGACTAGAAAGGAAAAAAAAATTACCATCTAGAAACCTCTTCCATTTCTATTATATTTTTAAGAAAAGGTCCAGTATAAGAAACATATTGAAAGAACAGAGTCTTAAAAGGTTTAATACCCTTTAACTTATACAACTTAACATTTAATATGCACACTGTATAAATGTCACCCCCATCTCACAGTCCCGTAACTAAGGGCAGCTGGTATGCCAAATAGTCTTTAAGATATCAAGGAATTAGCACATTGTGCTCAGCCCCAATTCTAAAACACTGGAGACCTTGACAACCAGGAGAACTTCTTTACCGCCAGTTTTCCTGAGTGTGAAAAGAGGAGTGCCTCCTTCGACTTTTCCTCCATCAGGGACCAAAAGAGCCTCAATCACACCATTTGCAGGTGATGGCACCTGCACAGATGTCTGGAAGAGAAAGCCGATGGAGAAAAGGTCCAATTTTTAATTCAGCATCAGAAATTTGTATAAAAATCTCAAATATGAGTCACAAGAATTACAACAGATATGAAAGACCACATACAGAAACACCAATACGCGGGCCTCCCCTGCTGGCGCAGCAGTTGAGCGCTGGGCTGCAAAGCTGCCCACAGCCTCTGCAGCGCCGGTTCGATGCCTGGCCGCCGGCGAGGGTCCCACACGCAGCTCCCCTCAGCAGTGTATTTCGTCAGTCCACCTGTTCTGTTCCCCGCTCTGGTGAATTCTCTCACCCTCCCACGCTTCTGACTGTACCAGTGCTTGTATAAATAAATAATAAAAATAAATAAATCTTGGGTCTCCCCAGTGGCGCAGCAGTTGAGCGCTGGGTTGCGAAGTTGCCCGCGGCCTCTGCGGCGCCGGTTCGATCCCCGGCTGCTCCCCGGCCACCGGAGGAGGGTCCCACATGGCGCGCAGACCTCTCCTGCCGCCCGCTGCTCCCATCAGCAGTGTACTTCATTCCTTCTGCCTGCTCTGCTCCCTGCTCTGGCTCTGGTGAATCCTCTCACCCTCCTGCGCTTCTGACTGTACCCAGTGCATGTATAAACAAACACAAAACAAACAAATAAAATAATAAAGAAATAAAAAACATGCCCCTAAAAAAATAAATAAAAATAAAAAAATAAATCTTTAAAAAAAAAAAGAGTTGAAAAAAAAAAAAGAAACACCAATACACATTTGCAGACTGAGAGTAATGACACATCAGTGTGATTGTGAAGAGTCACTCTTTCTGTCCTTTTTCAGGAACATTAAATATTTAGCTAATGTGTTTCCAAGTGACAGATAAAAAACTGGAAACAGTTTATTCAACAAAGCGGGAAAAAGCTATAGAACAAAAGCTGCTAATATACATCTACATATAGTTAGGTCTAAAATTCTAAAGTTTTTCCTTCCTTTGTAATGGGCTATTACATCACTTTCACAACTCAAGTGAAAGCCAGATAAAAATTATCTTTAAGTTCCTGTTTCTTTCATTAAGTTAAAAAACTAGGGAGTGGGCCTCCCCGGTGGCACAGCGGATTGAGCGCAGCGCTATGAAGCTGTCCGCAGCCTCTGCAGCGCGGGTTTGATTCCTGGCTGGCCAGGGAGATACCCACATGGCGTGGCAGACCTCTCCAGTCTCGCCCGCTGCTCCCCTAAGCAGTGTTTCTGGTCTGCCTGCCTGTTCTGTTCCCTGCTCTGTCTCTGGTGAATTCTCTCACCCTCCCACACCTCTGGCCTGTACCCCAGTTCTTGTGTAAATAAAATAAATCTTAGGAAAAAAAAAAAAGCTAAGGCGAACATGAAAAATTAGCACTAATATAGGACAAGCCTACCTTGTCAGTTTCAATCTCACAAACCACTTCATCTTCTGCAACCGTGTCTCCAACAGCTGAAAAGACAGTCAAAAGCTACCATGTTAGGGGAAGCCTCTAGTAGTCAAAATCCTTTTTGGCGAAAGCATTATAAGAGCCCTTTCCTATACAGTCAGGAGAAAGTACACTGTATGTGAAAAAAATAGTAGAGCCATAGGTTCCACTGATTTTCATGTATTTAGACTTCAGAAGTCAGTGTACTACACCTTACCTTTCTCCCACCTGACATCCCCCTCTGTGACAGATTCTGCAAATGCTGGGGTTTTGACAGTAACCACATCATCCTCTAGAAAAAGAGCAAAAAGGAAAATCACAAGTAGCCCATAATTTTCCTTTTTAATTTTTGTTTCTTTAATTAAACTCAGTCAGTTGTTGCTCTCCCACTAAAACGTCATTACCAAGAAGGCAGGGAGCTGAAGGTAGGTACTTACTGCACACAGCTGTAGTTCTGAAGAAACGAACAGTGAAGACATTGCTGCTGTTAATGCTACAAAAAAAAAAAAAAAAAAAAGTAACATAAAAGTGAACTCCTTTGGAGGTGAATCACTCACATTTTAGTCTAGATAAGGCACCACAGACCACCTTCCCTTTAAGTTAGTGATTCTTGACATGGTGCCCATCAGATCACCAGTGGGGGGACTTTTTCAAAGCAAGTATGTCTAGGTCCCATCTCCAGAGATTCTAATTCGGCAGGTCTAGAGCAGGGTCTGGATGAAGTGGAGCCTTAGGTAGTGAGCTCCTTAGGTGAGCCCAGTCCCTGTGCTCTGGGAAATGCCAGCAGCAAAACAGATTAACATTTTGTTCTTTAAAGAGAAAAATAATGTATTCTGGTCCTTATGCACCCCCATCAAAAGAACTTAGCTTCCTGACTAGTTTTTTTCCTGAACTAAATCCAAGTAAGATAAATTTTTTGCCCATGGGTACATGCCATTGTCTCACAAAGGAATTTCTGTCCACAGGATTAAAGATTTAGATCAGACAAGGCAGCAAAATGAGACAGTTAACTTGGAGGTAAAACAAGCTGTTATGTGCCAAAAAAAATTAATAATAACCTTATTTGGCATCGCCTAGTTTGTCATTGCTAGGAGACAGTGCATCAGTCTATCCTGGACTCCTTCAAGAGGAAAACCTCAAAAGACGTATTTTCTGATATGACACTATAAATAATATAAAATGAAGACTATCACCCTGTATGTACGAAAACATTAACAGTGGTTACCTCTAGGTGGTGTGATTATAGATACAAAGTATCTATGATTTTCTGTTATATACATATATAATTTGGGAGGGTGATTTGGACTAATGGGGAATTTCACTTCCTATACTTCAGAACTGTTTAAATATTTTACAATGAGCACCTCTATAACAGAAAAGTGAAACAGACTTAAGCTGCCTTTGATACAATTTTTATTTTTATAATGTCAAAATGACACTATCAGGTCTATACGGAATCAAGGGAGGGAAAGTGCTATTAAAAAAACACAAGACACAAAGTGTCTTATATATATAGAGTATAAGCATATACTTATATAGAGTATACTTATATAGAGTATAAGCATATACTTATATAGAGTACATGCTCATGGGCAACAACTAACAGGTAATGCAGAAAATGCTCTGTTGAAGACACCCAAGAGCCTGAAACACTGCTGTCTCTGGGAAGAGAAACTTAGTGGTACTAGAGGACAAGAATAAATTCTTTTTATGGATATTCTTTTTACTTTTGAACCATATAAATAAGTTATTAAATAAAACATTAGGGCATCCCTGGTGGCACAGCGGTTGAACGCTGCATTGTGAAGCTGCCCGCAACCTCTGCAGTGCGGGTTCTAGCCCGGCCAGTCAGCAAGAATCCCACATGGCGCGGCAGACCTCTCCTGCCTCACCTGCTGCTCCCCTCAGCAGTGTATTTCAGTGGATCTGCCTGTTCTGCTCCCCACTCTGTCTCTGGTGAATCCTTTCACCCCTGCACCTCTGGCTTATACCCCAGTTCTTGCATGCATCAATAAATAAATCTTTAAAAAAATCCAAAAAATTACTTTCAAATAGTTGTTTGTTGTATTTATTACATAGAGATTTGTAGTTGCTCTAATTTTCATTTAAATTGCAGATAAGCAGCACACATTAAATCTCTAAAATTTTTATTAAAACAGTATTAAATGTTCACTGTAGAATATTTGAAATCAGCAAAAAAACTGTACAGTAGGAAATGAAATTATTTTTTTTCCATCTAGCATGGTGTGAACGTGTAACATGACATAGTTTAGCCAACTCCTGTTATTTGGCCATTTCGAGAGCAATCTGGGTGCACCAGGAATTCTTCAGTGTAGATTCCTAGAAACGGAATTGTTAGATAAAAAGGGACACACAGTTCAAAGACTTATGGTTGTGAAACAGACCTCCAAAAACAAGAGAAATTTGTACTTCTAGTACTTAGTGCATCCTTTCCTCAATTACAATTTAAAAATCCCACTGTGATGCACAATGAAGGAGCTAATCTGCTGAAACTTCATTTTGAAGGTTTTCCCTATAAAGTAGATAGCTGTTCAAAGGCGATCAGAGAGCATCCTCTTAACCAGAACCCAAAAATGCAAAGGAAACACATGAACGGCCTTTCTCCAAACTTGGCAGTATGCAGAACACGTTCCTTCTCAACCAGTCCAAGTCCCCAGACTCAACCAATTAGACTTTGGGTTCGCTGTTCCAAAAATGAGTACCTGCTACCAAGAGGATGCTCTCAATCTCCACATTTAATGTAACCACAAACCCTTCAGCAGCACCAGCATCCAACCAGAATGTTTACGAGCATCCTTCTGTATCTATTCCTATATAAAGAGGATTCCAAATTCACTTTCGTTATAATGTGTCATCTTTCATTATAAACACCTGAGGACAGGAACACTCCTGGTCCTGCACCTAACATGGGGTTGAAGCTCAAGGTATATCACATGTAATACAGTAACATCAAGGTTAGGACCAGGGACTCAACATAACCATCCTGATTTTAGGCCTGGAAGCCAGTGAAGAAACCAGATGGTTAAATTTAGAACTCATATGTGAAATGCCCCATCGCCACATATCTGTGCTCCCCAGTGATACTTACACAATCTTCCTGTTGTCAGGGTAACCTGGTCCCTGACATAAGGAGACCCCTGCAAGAAACAAAACAACTCTTAACCAAGAACCCTTGTCTTGGGACTCCCCAGTGGCGCAGTGGGTTGAGCGCCGCGCTGTGAAGCTGTCCGCAGCCTCTGCAGCACGGGCTCGATTCCCGGCCGGCCAGGGAGAAACCCATTGGCATGGCAGACCTCTCCTGTCTCACCCGCTGCTCCCCTCACCAGTGTCTTTGGTCCATCTGCCTGTTCTGCTCCCCGCTCTGTCTCTGGTGAATCCTCTCACCCTCCCGCGTCTGTGACCTATATACCCCAGTTCTTGTATAAATAAATAAACCTTAAAAAAAAAAAAAAAAAAAAAAGACCCCTTGTCTTATACAGGGTGTCTGTTAGGGATGGAAAAGAAGTCTGTTCACCTCCTAACTTTGAGATAGAGCAGGAGCAAGTACAGACTACAATACAATCTTTACCACACAGAGTTTCTACATTTCAAACTTTTCTACCAAACTAACTACAGGGCCATGGAGCAACAGGTATGTGGGGTCAAAAATGGGAATGTATTTGAGGAAGGGGAGAATTTTGAGGACACAGCTTGAAGAAGTTTTAGAATCTTATTTACCATAAAATGTATAAGCTGTCATTATCCTACTATGCTCTACTGATAAAATGTCATCATCCCCCCCTCAAGTCTTCAAATACAATTAAAGCTCGTAAAGACACCCGACGGCTTATCCTGTGACTACACGTGGCCTGATCTGAGAAGCGGGGGGATGGCTGGCCTGGGTGTTTTTCCCTGGTTACTCTAATGCACCGGGCTGGAAGTCTTACTGCTTAAACCCTTGTAGCAATACTGGGCCACTTCAAGCCACAGGTCTCCAGCTTGTCCTACAACTGAGCAAATCATTATCCGGCCTTTCATTTTATTGTCTTCCCAAGATTTCTCTGAAGTCTTCTACTATGATCACAAGGTAGGAGACCCACTGTGTCCCACTATCTATGTTCCCTTTATCACAGATAACTGCATCTCCCTAACTGATGATTTATTACTATAAGCTATCTTACCTTAATGTAGTCTTTCATGTGTCTTAATTTTTCCCAATCTATTAACTATTTTTGAACCATGGGCTCAGAAAACACCAAATGGGAGACAGCTCTTTCTGGTGCCCACCTCATCATAAACATCCCCAGGTTTCAGAGTCAAGCAAGTCACCTCCATGTCCAGCAACTAATGACTCTGCAGTACAAATCAGCCACGAGCACATACTGATTTTTGAAACCATGAGTTCAATTTAGAGTTCATCGACAGTAAGTTTCATTTATACAGTACCTTAAGATTTATAAAAAGCTTTCACATAATGACCTCATTTTGATTTTTGTGTCTCGCAACTCCCGCAAGCAGAGCAACCATCTGCCATTATTCCTATTTCATATACAAGTAGGGCTCACAAAAGTTAAGGGACTAGCCCAAGGTAAAGCCCTGAGCTTCAGTGCAAACCCAACTGTGAGGTTCTTTCCACTGTCCTGTCAGTCATTTTAATAAAATAATAGATATTTTTCAGGGTTGCTAGTAAAAAAGAACTTATTATTGCAGGTACATTATACATTAGCACCATGCTAGATGCCTCCGTTCTCTTGACTCTTATGATAAAGTCTGAAAACTTTACACATTCCTGTGTGTCCAGCCAGACAGAATACCCTTCCTGCCTGAAAATCTGTGCACAAGGATTTACCTTTGCCTGAAATATTGTAGGCTAGCTCCTACAGATTCTTCAAGACTTGGCTTAAGTGTCACTTCAGGGAAGCCTTTCCTGACATTCCCATAGCACTGTCACCCTCCCCAGCTAGGCTATCATCGCATTACAACTTGCACTTCTGTCAAAGTAATCACAATGTAATTAAGTCCTTATGCATACATAAACGTTTATTTACTGTCTCTTCAGCTAGCCCATAAGCTTCTTGAGGGTAGAGACCACCAAAATCCGTGTCACACAGCATAGTCCTTGGTATGTATAAGACCTGAATAAATGATGTATTGAGCACGAGTAAATGATAACAGGCTGAGGAGTCAGGTAGACCTGGCTTGACCAACAGTTACCTGACCTTGGCCAAGGCATTTGACCTCTCTTAGCATTGTGTTATGCATTTGTAAAATAAAGAGCATACCTCTGTTTTTTGGTGATTTTTTTGGGAAATGTACAGAAAGTAGTCAGAATAATGCTTGGTATGTAGAAAACCCATAATAAGATTGACTCATTCAACAAATATTTAGCCAGGCTTATTAAAAAAATACAGGAAGAAGATCTACACTTCTTCCAAAGATCTCTATACATCTTCCATGGCATGCCACTCTCTTCCTTAACCAAAAGGCCCTAGCCAAATCACCTTTTGGCAGTGCTGAAATACTGCCAAGCTCCTTCCTTCCTCAGGGACTTTGTACACGCTATTCTCTTTGCTTCTGCTCTTCACTGGGCTGCCCTCTGCCATATCCTCCAGGTCACAGCTTTAATATCACCTACTAAAGAGGCCTCCCATGACACCTTCATTTGTTCCTTCTCAGCATTTAACCAAAATGTATGACTGCTCGCTTACTTCAAATGTACTGGACTGTGAGCGCCTGAGGGCAAGAATTACTAACTGCTGTACTCCCAGTGCATGCCTAGCACAGAGCCTGACGCACGAGAGAAGCCCAGGGACTATGTGCTACATGGAATAACGATAGCTGCCATTAAACGGCACGGGGTTCGCTGTCTGTCTGAGAAACGCAGGCACCCCATTTCCTCACACACTGCTCTGCCCAAGAGGAGAGCCTTTTACGTGACCGCAAGGGCAGAACTTACCAGGCAGGGAACGTCTCCCTAGAGGGCAGTTCCCCTGTTGAGAAAGAAGACATGATCGACGTCACCCAGGATGCAGCGTGAGGAGAACCGGCGGCCGTTCTCTTCATGACAGACTCCGAGCTGTCCCGGCGCGGGTGACGGACACGTCTCAAGACCCCGAAACGCACACGCACCAGCCGGCGCGCCGGGGCCCGTCGGGCTCGGGCCTGCGGACCCCTCGACTCCCCAGGGGCCCGGGACCCCGCGCTGAGGAGGGATCCCGCCGGGCCCGCGGCGCCTCCTCCCAAACGCGGAGCCCCGAGCCGGGCGGGCGCGCGCGGGGCGGCTCCTCCGCCGGGCGCCCAGGGTGGAGCCCGCAGGGGACGGCGCGCCGCGGCCTCGGGCGCGCCGGGGGCCCGGCGCGGGGCAGGCCGGCCCGGGGGCCACCGCCGCCCTGGCCCGCCCGCCGCGGCCTCCGCGTCCCGGTGCCCTTGGTGCTCGGCCTGGCCGGCGCGCCGCGCCCCTGCCCCCGGCCGCCCGGCCGCCCCGCGGGGTTCTCGGCGCCGGGCCAGGCCCGGCCGGCCCGTACCTTCTGGAAAGCGGAGAGCGAGCGGCTGAAGGCTCGGGACACGCAGCGGGACCGGGACAGCATCGCGGCAGCGGCGGCGGCAACGGAGCCGAGGGCGGGCGGACACCGGATATAGGGCCCGGCGGCAGCCGGAAGTGGCGCGGGCCGCGGCACCCGCCGCGCGGGGAGGGGTGGCCGGGGCGAACCATTCGCTGGCTGGGGGGGGCGGGGCGGGGCGGGGCGGGGCCGGAGCGCCGAGGGGCGCGGGCCTCCCTCCGCCGGCGCGGGGACGGGGCTTGGAGCCCGCTGCGCTGCGGGTTGGCCTCGGCCGGTCCTCCCGAGGGTGCCCACGACCGTCGGGCGACCTAGTCGCCGCCGGGGCCGGCTCTCCCGACCTTTCCGCAGAGCTGGCTCTGGCTTGGCACCCTCCTGTCCTGGCACCGGGGCCCCACGCTGGGTGGGAGGCGCAGGAGGCAAGGCAAGCCCAGCTTTGACCTCCGACCTTGGCTGGCAGGCCTGCCTGATCTTCCACTGTGGGGCCCTGGGCAGGTGAAATTGCCTCTGGGAGCCTCAGATATAGGCAGTAGTTCCCTCCCTGCTGCCTTAACCCCCAAGTAAAGAAACAGACCGCCCCAGGAACCTCCAAGGGTTTTATCTAACCGAAGATCTTCCCCAAGTAGCCGAACTTCTGTAAGACATCTCACCTGACATCTCACCTTCCGTAGTAGTCCCTACTCTCTCTAGCCGAGCTAATAGTTCTCCATTCCTCCAGTGCAGGCTGTTCATTTGTCATTCTGCCCCTATAATAGAATCTCCATGAGATTAGGGACTCTGTCTGGCTCACTGCAGTATCCCCTACACTTAAAACAGAGAGTAGGATAGGCGAGGAGCGCAATAAATATTCGTGAGCTGACTTTGGCCTCTCAGCTCTGGGCAGAGCATTCTGCCCATCTTCAAAATGAAAGCACATAACATCCCCTTGCCTGTTTAGTCTTTTCTTCCCTTAAATCCCCAGGTCCCCGAGTGTTCACCTTCATAGCTCAACTTCCTGGTAGAAAGGGTTTTCTATAAGCTGACTGAATTAAGAATGAATCAATGAATGAATGAACGAATGAGCCACTTGGTGTTGCTTCTTAAGCTGTTGATTTCTTTACCTGAGTTCATCTTGCATAGTTCTCAGGGCTTTATGGTGCCTTCACTCATCCACACTCTGAAAGCACTTCCACTGGAATTCTAGAGGGACTTCTGCTAGAAGCCCTAACTAGAAATAGAAAAAAACATCCTTCCCTACTACTGCTGTCATCAGATCCTCGCCATCCTTCACCTGAATTATTTTTCAAAGCTTTCTAAACAGACTTGGGCCTCCACTTTCACTTTCTCAAAGCCATGGTCCACACCTGTGTCAAAGATCCTTTGCAAAGCAAATCTAATCCTATCACTCCCCTGCTTAAAGTTTGTCAATTGCTTCTCCCTGTGGATAGGATAAAGTCCAACCCATTAACCTGACCAGGCACCTGAAAACCAGGTTGTGATCCTCCCCCATTCTCACCTGTCCTGACCTTCAGTCATTCCACACCATAACCCCATGTACTATTTCACTCCACGTTTTTATGTGGCTGCTCTTAATTGTTGCCTAGGATTCCTAATCTTCCTTCAAATCTCTTTTGAATCCCTTCCTAATCCCCTCTGGCAGAGTTAACAGATATCTTTTCTATGATAACAAAACTCTGTTTCTATATTGCATGTGTCATATCCTATTTCCTTGCCTGTCTTCTCTACTGGGCAGAGCAGCAAGAGGAAAGAGATGACTCTGTTTTCCTGAGTCTCCTGCACAGAACACAGTGCCTGGCACTCTGTTGGTACTCGATAAATACAAGAGTGAAATGACTAAATACTGCCATGCTTATAGTCCTGTCAGATGCAGCTAAAGAGTCCAAGAACAGTAGTCAGGATTTGTGGCAATCCTATGCAGGGATTTAATATTACTTAAATAGATACTTTATTTTTTCATTTTTTAAAAATAATTTAACTGGGCCTCCCCTGGTGGCGCAGCGGTTGAGCGCTGGGTTGCGAGGCTGCCCACAGCCTCTGCAGTGCCAGTTCGATCCCCAGCCACGGGTGAGGGTCCCACAAAAAAACGAACAAACAAAAAAATTAATTAACTTTTAAGAGTCTTATCGAAGATGCCAAAGCTCAATGCTGAATGATGCATGTGGTAAAACATTTCTCCTAGAGTTTCAGTGATCACCAAAGTTAATCTTAGCTGTTATAGTCTGAGACACACACACACACACACACCCCTCTCTCTGGCATGCATGGGTGCTTGCAAAGTTCTTCTTAGAGGATGAAGATTGAAACCGATTTCCTTGAGATTCACCATAGAGTTCAAGATGCAAACCCAATAAGCTCAAACCTCTTCTGTATTTAAAGCATCCCAGGACACAGCATCATCTATTGTGATCTATTGGGACAGGAATTTATGAACAGAAGTGCATAGACGTGTGTATGGCAGGGTTCAAAAGAGAATTTTTAAAAAAAATTTTTTTCTTGTAAAATAGATATTCAAAAGGGTGTATAATTATATCTGTATAGGTTAAAGGAAATTAAGTGCTCACACTTGCCTCCCAGCTTAAGGAGTAGAAAAACCTAGTGTGGCCTCCTTGCTGATTCTCCTAGAGTTAATCACTGCTATACTTAATTATGTATTAACAAGCCCCTCGCTCTCATTGTAGCTTCAATACACACACACGTCCTAAATGTCTGTATCATGTTTTTGAGGCATGCTTATTTTTTAATACAAGCACTGGGTGTCACGCGGGAGGGTGAGAGAATTCACCAGAGCCAGAGCGGGGAGCAGAGCAGGCAGAAGGACCGAAGTACACTGCTGAGGGGAGCAGCGGGCGGCAGGAGAGGTCTGCACGCCATGTGGGACCCTCCTTGTGGGACAGCAAGGGATTTCGCAACCCAGCGCTCAACCGCTGCGCCACCGGGGAGGCCCTGTAAATTTTTTAAATTGGAAACATTTCTAGAAAGGATAAGCCACTCAGCTAATGAAAAACACCTCAGAGTAGGCAGCTTACCTTAAATAATACATACAATGTTCTTGTCCCTTACTTTAAATCCCCCAGTATTCATATGTGTGATCTGAATCATACACTCATATCCTGGTTTATTTCTTTATGAATGTTATTGACCAAATAACCTCAATCTCTGAGCCTCTTAAAATAGAGACGATAGCCTGTATTCACTTTGCATTATTCTTGATACTTGGGTTCCACCTATCTGTCTATTAAAAATAATGGACAGGTAATTCACAATGAAAATCTAGACAATGTTTAGACTATTTTAAAATGCAATACAGGCCTCCCTGGTGGCACAAGGGGTTAAACACCTCACTATGAAGCAATCCACAGCCTCTGCAGCATGAGTTCGATCCCCGGCCAGTCAGGGAGCAACCTGCATAGCGCTGTAGATCTCTCCTGTCTCACCTGCTGCTCCCCTTAGCAGTGTATTTCAAGTCAGTCTGCCTGTTCTGTTCCCCTCTGTGTCTCTGATGAGTCCTCTCACCCACCCCCAACATCTCTGGCCTGTACCCCAGTTCTTGAATGCATAAATAAATAAATCTTTTAAAAAATGCTATACAAATGGAATCACAGCATCTGTATCATTCTGTGGCTTACTTCTTTCACTCAACATTATGTTTGGAGGGTTTCTCTATGTTGAGTTGAGCTGCAGTTCATTGATTTTCAATGCTATATTTCACAATATTCACTCCATTTGCCAAACTAAAAGGAGGAAAAGTGGCAAAATTCTAGAGGTGTGGAGTATTGGCGGCTTTGGCCAGTGAGGTCTCCCCAGCTCTGCCAGAGGTGAGGGCCTTTGATCCAGCCAATGGGCCCCCAACAGTGTCAATGGAGGGAGAAGTCACACAGTCTCTCATTCATGCAGAGCTGAAGGGCTGTATTTGGGTGCTGAACTGGTTCTAGTATCCTTAGATTGCTTGAGGGACAGGGTGCAAGTTCACTTTGGAGCTGCCTTCCTGGGGAATTTGGAAGGGAAGCGCTCCCTGAGGGAGGCCAGTGGAGTAGGAGAAGCTGGGTAACTCAGTCTTTGTGTCCTTTTCAAGGGTCTCTGTGTCCTTGATCAGGGACAGAAAAGATGGCATTTCAGGAAGGTCCTCTGATCTGGTCTTTCTGGGCATCTGAGTTGGGATAAAGGTGGGAGATGGTGGAACTGTGGGGGGGGAGCCAACCAGCTCTGGCCCCTATTTGCATATTCATAAGTTCCCCACACCGGTTGGCTGCACGAGGCAGCCCCCACTGTCCCCGCTGGGGCTGGGCTGGTCTGCCAGAGGTGCCTCGCACTGAGAAGGGGTGGGAGACGTCCCTCATCCAGCCACCAGCATCAGAGCTCCTGAAGAGGAAGCAAGAAAACCAAAATCACTTCCTGACCTTGGTTCTGTCTGCCCAAGGCTGCTCCTTCTCCTGGGGTGGCGGCCCCACCTGGACGCAGAGCCCGGACTCCCACCTCCCAGAGGGCGTCCCTGGCTCGGTGAGTAGCCCTCTTCCATCATTTCCCTTGCCAGAGCGCTTGTTTGTTTATTTTTATGCTGGAATGTTTATTGTGGAAATTTTCAAGTATGTAAAAAGGTAAAGACTAGCGCACTCCCCACCACCTAGATTTAACAATTGTTGATGTATTGCCATGTTTGCTTCACCTAATTTTTGTTTTCTGAAATACTTTCAAGTAAATCACAGACTTGGAGATATTCCCTCCTATTACCTCACTCCTCAATCCCCAGCCTGCTTCTTCAGGGCAACTTGAGACTCTTCTTTCATTAGCTTCTCACACCAGTCTTGAGTGAGGGGATGGGTGATCAGCCCACTTTAGAAAAGCAGAAAAAGCTGAGAGTGTGATGAGGGGGAATGGCTGGGAGGTGAGGCCAGGCCACCTAAGCCCCAGCCCAGCACTCTTGTCTCAGCCCCTGAAAGCACCTTTCCTGTCAGGGATGTGTTCCTAGATAGCAGTGCGGCTCTGCGACTACTGGGTGACCTTGGGCCTATCACTTCACCTTTCTGGGCTCCTGTTGCCTCAGCCATAAATCAAGGAGGGTCTGGCATGAAGATCAAAGGGCCTAATGCTGGTCTGTGATGTTTTCAGAAAATACAAGATATAGAGCTTCTCACAAAGCTAATTTGGACATTATGTTCTTTCCTTTTTTATTTAAATGTGGTGGTTAAAATTCATTTCTATTACAAAGTAAAAATGATAGTAGCTTGTCGTCTTTTTTTTTTTTTTTTTTTTTGGTATACTTATTTTTTGTGTCCTTACCTGCAAATAAAATGCCAGCTACTCTCATGTTGGGCCAATTTTTTGTTGTTTTCGTTTTAATCAGTGGTTGAAATCTAGAAATATGGGAATCACCCACTCTACCAACTGAACCCTAAGTCTTTTCCAGCTTTAAAGTCGCTTGGTTTCAGGGGCAGGTGGGTTCCCCATCCTGTCCTGAGGGAGAGGAGAGGAAACTGCAGTTTAAGGAGTATATTCCTCATAGAACCCTAAAAGAGGCCACCGTTAGCAACACATTTTACAGATGGAGATACTGGGGACAAAGAGGCAAAGTTAATTCCGTAAGGTCACACAAGAGCTAGCAAGTCTGACCCAGATCCAACACCGGGGAGATCAGTCACGGTCACAGGCACAGCAGCAGTTCAGTAGATAGACCAGCAGGATTGTGACTTGGTTGTCTGTCTGTCTGTCTGTCTGTCTGTCTGTCAGCGGACAGGGCTGTGCGGTCTGGGTCGTCACTCTGAGCTCCTCTCTCCTTTTCTATCATCAGCCACTGCAACTGGGAGAGCTGCTCAGGGCTGGACCGGAGGTGGAAGGGGCCACCTCTGACTCACAGTTCCCCAGGGATGAGTAAGACATGGGGGCTGGGGGGCAGTAACCTCATCTTCGGGAATGATATAGAGATGGGGTTGCACATGAAAACAAACTTAATAAAGCATAAAAATCTATATGACCTTGAGATCTGCCACCCTAAACAAGTCTTTTGTGGGCTGCTAATATTTGCTGAGCCTGCCAAGCACTTGGGTGGGAGGTCGTGGGTCAGACAGAAACGTGCTCATACATAAGTGTGTGACTGAGCGATCACCATTATGAATCACCGGTAGTGCACCTTTCAGTCCTGCGACATCTGCATAGGAGAGGCTGTTTCAGGATAAGGCATTTTCCTCCAACTGTATTGTGGGTGCTTATCAACTAGGCGCCATCCAACCAAGTCTAGAAAATGAACAAAATCTTGCAGAAGGAAACACTGTTTTCCCAACCTAAACCTGGTAGCAACTTAATATTAAGGAAACAATAGATCTGGATCGAGCACCAATGACAGTGATGAGTTACTTTGCATCTCTTGGGCTTTGCCTGGTGCCTTTTATTGACGGACTCCCCAAGCCTACATTGCTTCATTCCCTAGAGGCCCTGCTGGACTGTGTCAGGGGTGTTTGCTGTTCCCTGAGTGTGGGCACAACACAGAAGGAGGCACAGGCTGGGAGCTGCTGATTTCACCTCATTTAACCTGGGAGCCCTTCTGTGAGTCTGGGCCTTTCCCCTTTGTCCCCTTGGGCAGAGCTTTGGGAGATCTCGACAGAGATCCCATGGAAGGGCCCAGACTCACAGAAGCGCTCCCAAGTTGGGGTGAACTGTGCAGTTGAGACTGCCGCAGACGCGGGCCATGTCTTTTCAGCTCATACCCACGGCCTCTGACACTTCAGCTGAAAAGCACATCTTCTTTCTGACAGCTAGTATTTACTTGAGATGACTATATCCCTCATTTGACACTCTCTAGTTATAAAATGCTACATACCTTTGCAGTTGTATCAGGAATCCTATGTTTTATGCTGATATTTATGGTAAATTTGCTCCCCCATGGGGGCTTCTATGTTTGGAGCCCAGAAGTGTACATTCAAGAAAGAGTCAATGACAAAAAAAAAAAATGCAAGCTTGTTTATGTAATGGACCTTTTTTTTAAAAAAAGATTTATTTATTGATGCATACAAGAGCTGGGGTACAGGCCAGAGGCATGGGGAGGGGTGAGAGGATTCACCAGAGGCAGAGCGGGGAGCAGAACAGGCAGACTGACCAAAGCACACTGCTGAGGGGAGCAGCGGGCAAGACAGGAGAGGTCTGCTGCGCCATGTGGGTAGCTCCCTGGCTGGCCGGGAATCGAATTCATGCTGCACAGGCTGCAGATAGCTTCATAGGTTGCGCCTTAACCCTTGCGCCACCAGGGAGGCCCCTGGGCTTTATTTTTTAAAGCAGTTTTAGAGTAACAGCAAAATTGAGCAGAATGTACATAATTTCCCTTTATATCCTTGTTCCCACATATGTATTGCTTTCCCCATAAATACAAATTTTTAATTGTTAAAGATCTTTTTTTTATCATATAAGTGAAAACATACACCTTGAAAAGATGGTAAATACAGAAAAGTCAAAAGAATAAAATAAAGAAAAAATTGCCCATCATTCCATCACCCATAGACAATTATTGCTAACATTTAATGTATTTACTTCTCATCTTCTTTATTGTACTTTTAATATATAATTTTCTTTCACCCACTTATAGTTTTCTACAAACTCTTCTTAAACAGGACTTTAAAATGACTGCATAATATACTACTATGCAGATGATACCATATTTTATGAGTTATTTATCCAGTCTCTATTCTATAAATAACACTGGAGAGATCATTTTTTACATAAATCTGTGGGCATAGTGTCATTTTCTTGACTTCGGACAGAATTATTGACTTTAGTGTTAACATGTTTAAGTTTCATATATACTATATAAATAATTCCCTAAAATATCTGTAAAATGAGCAATATTACTGAGAGTCAGAGAAATGCAAATAATGAGAATATTTTCACCCATCATATTGGCAAAGATTTAAAAGACTGATGATACCCAGTGTTGATGAAGATGAGAGGGTGTGTTCTTCTATAGGTATGATGGTAAGAAAACAAATTATCTCTTTAAAAGTATGTATACAAGTAAAGCATAAGTACATTCTTTAAAATTTCAATTAATGCAGACATACACATAGTAAAAAATTGAAAGTTCTCCCTCAGTCTGTCATCCCTACTTCCAATAAGCACATTTCTTGTATAGCTGATTTCTGGAGGGCAGTTGACCAACAAGTATAAAAGTCAAGCGTATACCTGGCCTTTGATACAGAATTTCCACTTCTACAAATATATCCTAAAAAAAAATAGGAAAAGTTCCCAAAGATATATAGAGAAATGTTCACCCCAATATTACTAATAGTAATAATAGCTAACTCTTATCTGAAATTTACCCCGTGCCAGAAACTGTTCTGAAAATACGCATTAACTTACTGGCTCTTCACAACATTCCCATGATAGCAGTAGTTTGTGTTTATTCCCATTTTATTGATGAGAACCAAGACACAGAGCAGTCACAAAGCTAATGACTAGTTCTTGGGAATCAAATCTAGTAGATCTGACTCCAAGGTCTAATTTCCTACCCCCATAATATATTGTCCTGTGACTATAATGGTGATGGCATAGAAATACATCTGTCTGTAAGGAGGGAGTTTATTAAATAAATTCTGGTACATCCATACATTGAAATATCAGCTTTCACAATGTTGCTGCAGATTGATGTTTGTTGACATGAAATCTCTGTGTGGAGTTTGTTCACATAGGTGCTAGAGAGGGATCTGAAATCTTTACCTCTAATGAGACAAAATCAGTCTAAATGAGGTGCTTAGAATGCTTAGAATGATTTATTCAACTGAGTTAAGGAAGCTATAGAACCATGTGTTAAAAATATTACCTAATCCTGGTGATCATGTCAATGTGTATCTATAAACAGAGAAAAGGTTTGAGACACAAGGACTAACACCAAAATGTTAACTGTGATTTTTTTTCTGGGAGGCAACATTGTCTTTCTTTTCCTCTTAATACGTTTCTAAATTTGGCAAATAAAGTGATCCTATATTACTTTCATAATCTAAGAAGAGCGGTAAAGTTGTATTTAAAGGATTATGACAATTGCCACATCTACCCGTGAATGTGAAAGTGCTGCTAGTTAATTTTCAAACAGAAAGCCTTGCACTCCATGATGCACTCAGATAAAGGGCTCCAGGGAGCAGCTGCCCAGCACAGAGGTTTCCTGTTTCTTAGCAGCCCAGATGCAGAGTTTCCATGATTGTCCTACAAAAGATGGGTGTAAACAACTCTGGGCACCCAACCACAGTGGAGTCTGGCTGGATTTCCCATTTTTTTCACCTCAAGACATTCCTGCTGATTGCTGTTTCATGAAACACACTGAGCTCCACCGCTTACCCTAGTGGTTACACCTTCTGGTACACACAGACAATACCTTGAACGACCGCAAGAGAGATTTGGCATGGTGGTTTTCCCTCCCTCCCTCTACCCCTGCCCCCTACTCTCCCTCCCTCTCATGTTGTTTAATGCTAGGTCTTTCTCTTCTCTCTACATACATTCCTAGGTGAACTCATCCATCTACGTACGGACAGCCCTTAATTTTCTGTTTCTAAGATACATGTCCCTACTCCCCTCAATGTATCTCCTCCCCTCCCCCAGTAAAGAATGATCCTTTTAAAACTAAGTCAGATCATGTTGCTTATAACCTTCCCGGGGTCCTCATTTATTTCAGAGTTAAGGACGATTTCACAATGTCCAACGAGGCCCTATTTAATGGTCTTCCATTACTGACTTTGTATATTATTACATTTATCTACCTTTGCATGAATGTCAGCTCCACATGAACAGAGGATTTCCTATGTAGTTACCAATGACCCATGTTTGTTGAATGAATGAATGAATGTAGAAGGACCAAAGTGAGGAGAGGCAAGAGGATGGGGGCCAGTGAGGAGGTATTGGGATTTCCAGGTGAAAAATGATGAGGCCCTGAATCAGGGAAAGTGTAATGGGAAAGGCATAGCAGAAGATAGTGCAGAGGCATCTTTGCCATAAATTTACCAGCCATAGTAACCAAATCAATGCTGAGTTGACAGGTGTCAAAGAAACTCTCTCCCTCTAGCTTCTGGCTTGAACAGTAAGATAGTCTGCGTGGTGAAGCACATTGGCTAATTGCAGAGTTTGGGTTTAAAAATGTTGAGTTTTGGACAGAGCTAGAAGGGATCATGCTCAGCGAAATAAGTCAGAAAGAAAAAGAAAAATACCAGATGGTCTCACTCATAGCAGGAATTTAGAAAACCTAAATAAGAGAACAGGAAAAAGACTAATCAATACAAAGTGAAAATCAAAATCAACAAGTAACTATAAACCAGAGACACACTACGGGGGGGGGGGGGGGAGGGGCGGGGAAAGGAAGGACTAGAGTCAAAATAAGGGGGGGCTAAGGGGGGAGTGCAATTGTATGGGGAATATAACCAAAATGAAAATGCATACATTGTGCAAAGATGAAAAATAATGTAAGAATTATATAAAATAAAATATTTAAACAAAAAATTTTAAAAATATGAAATTGGATATTTTAAAAAAATAAAAAATAGGGGCCTCCCCGGTGGCGCAGCGGTTGAGCGCTGGGTTGCGAAGCTGCCCGCGGCCTCTGCGGCCCCGGTTCGATCCCCGGCTGCGCCCCAGCCACCGGAGGAGGGTCCCACATGGCGCGCAGACCTCTCCTGCCGCCCGCTGCTCCCCTCAACAGTGTACTTCGTCACTCTGCCTGTTCTACTCCCCGCTCTGGCTCTGGTGAATTCTCTCACCCTCCCGCGCTTCTGACTGTACCCAGTGCATGTGTAAACAAAAAACAAACAAACAAAATAAATAAATAAATAAATAAATAAAATTAAAAAATAAAATAAAAAATAAAAATGTTGAGTTAGAGCAGACAGGTTCACTAGACAGAATAACCAACATCAATCTTTTTTGGAAGCTACTTAACTGAAAATATATATGGTCTGTCTATTATTGTTATACAGACTCTTGGCTAAAATATCGTTTCTTCCAGTTTAGAGATCATTATTAGTTACAAAATAACTAATGTGTGCTTAATGGTTCAGTTATGCTTATCAGATGATATGATCTGATTTAAAATAAATTTGTTTCTTGGGCCTCCCCTGGTGGCGCAGCAGTTGAGCGCTAGGCTGCGAAGCTGCCCGCAGCCTCTACAGCACTGGTTCTATCCCCGGCCGCCGACAAGGGTCCCACATGGCGCGCAGACCTCTCCTGCCTTGCCCGCTGACTGCTCCCCTTAGCAGTGTGTTTCGTCAGTCTGCCTGTTCTGTTCCCCGCTCAGGCTCTGGTGAATTCTCCCACCCTCCCGCGCTTCTGACTGTACCCAGTGCTTGTATAAATAAATAAATTAATGAAAAATAAATAAATTCGTTTCTCTTTCCAAGTGGTAAACCATCCAAATTGTTGCTATAGACTTGGCATTAACAAATTATTCTATGTGAACTTGGCAAGTCATCTATTTTCTTTTTAGTAATTGACAAATGTCTTACTCAAAGCAAGAATCTTCTCATTATTCTGACCCAAGAACCTAGCCTTCTTTCAGTGGCATTTACCCCATAATGCCACTAGAGCTGCCACTGCCCCTCAGGCCCTGCCCTGGTACTGGCATGATAACGCCATTGCTCTCAGTGGGCTAGCTTGGGGGCTCTGCCTTTGCCCAGCAGCTCCAGGAAGAGGACATGATCAAGTGTATAGACTAGACCCACCACTGCAGATGAGCTGAGATATGCCCGAAACAGAGAATCCTGAGTAAGCTTCAGGATTCCAGTAGAAAGAGACAGCAAGCTTTCCAGGTGGCATTTGTGCAAAAGAAACAAGAGAGAGTGAGAATTTGTAGAGGAAAAAAACTTAATTTAACTCTTCCAGAAAAGGATGAATCAACTTAGCAGGTGGTCTTATGCAGGTCTTTTCATTATTGGGGTTAGAAGATTTGGAATTTTCATTATTCTCTGCCTCACTGAGCCTCAATTTCCTTGTTCATAAAATGGCAGCATCCTACCAACTCTGTAGATTGACGTGAGATGCAATGAAGTCACATGTACAGATGTTTCATAAAATGCCTTCCACCTGCTATCTGAAGGCTGGATACTTAAGCTCAATGTTCTTTGATATTTTGTAGGAATAAAACAGCTGTAGGCAGCTTTTCCTAAAATAACTCCCTCTTCTCAATATCCTCCTCCCAACTTCCAACCCCTTATTGTGCTTTTTCTTCATAGCAATTATCACAACTTAAAAATATATTTGTTTATTTTTTCTTCCCTTGCCAGGAAGCGCCACAACAGAGGGCTCACTCACCACTGATTCTCCAGGTACCAGAGGAAGGCCCAGTCTCCAGTAAGTGAATAAACAAGTTGATAAATGTTGAAAGATGAATGTATTATCTGATTCTTCCAGGAGCAGAACAGCATCATGATCGAACAGCAAAGGTTCCCAAAATATTTTCAAATGCAGCACCTGCCCCAGCACTGAGGGATTCTGATTTAGCAAGTCTGGCAACACCCATTAAATTTGCTCTTTTTAACAATTGCCCGGGGTGATTCCTTGGCAGGCGGCACTAAGAAAGGTACTCTTAATCAGACAAATCTTGTTTTGATTCCAGACAGATCGAGTTTGACTCCAGCTGTATGACCTGAGGGTGGTGGCTTCTTCTGAGCCCATTTCCTTATCAGTGAAACAGGAGCAACAACTCTCAGAGAACTGTTTTGAGAATTAGTGAGATCACGGAGGTGAAGTTCTTGACAATTATGCAGTTAGCTGCCATTATGGGATAGCCCTGGCAGGAGGACTTTCTTTCTGGAGGCTCACTCTTGGGAACCTCCTTCAAGTGTGGTCTCCACCCAGCAGCAAAGCACTAGGGGCTGTGAGATGCTCTGCCCCTCACCCAGACCTGCTGAATCCAGAATCTGCATTTTTACAAGATCCCCGGGTGATTTTTATGCACATTCAAGTTTGCATAGCTCGAAGTCATATGCTTCCTTCTGTCTCTGATTTCAGGGTCTGCCCGAGGGGTTCATAAGCCCTGACATTCCAGAGTCTGCATCTTTCCTCTGCAGATGCAGCTGCTTTCACTCCCTTAAGGGCAGAAGAGGATCCCCCTGCTGGCTCTGGTGCACCTCCAGCGGAGGACATTAGGAGGAATTGCCCCACCGAGCTCCATTAACCCCACAACCTCTGAGCAAGTGGCCCAGGAGCCAGGCGATGGACCCAAACTCTGCCTTGCTTTCTCCTCCACCCCAAGCCTGTTCCTATCTGGCAGAACCCTGCATGGAGGGTGGGAGAAGTCCATCCCCCCAAGACTCCCCCTTTCCCTGGAACCAGGTCCCCAGCTCAAGCCTCACTGACCCAGACTGTTTCTGGAATGAGCACACCCAGGCAAAGAGGGCCAGAGTGGAGACCATCATCCGAGGCATGTGTCTCTCCCCTAACCTTCTGGTGCCAGGCGATGCCCAAACCAGGGACAGGCCCTGCGGCCCGGAGAAGGCCCGGGAGCGGAAGAGGAAGCAGAGGCTTCCCATGCAGCAAGGCCACCTGCAGCCAGTTCCTGCTGGGGACCAGAGCAGCAGGAAGGGGAGCCCTCGGGTGAGAGAACAACTTCATCTCCTAAAGCAACAACTAAGACATCTGCAAGAGCACATCCTGCAGGCTGCTGAGCCCAGGGACACAGCTCAAGGCCTGGGAGAGCCTGAGAAGGGGAAGCGCCCACGGAACATAAAGCAAAGGCACGGCTATGGGTCTAGGCCCTGGGCCGTGGACAGTGATGACCATCAGGGCTCCAGGGGGATCTTCCCCAGGGCAGGGGAACACATAGTATCTGAGGTGGAACCCCAGTCTGAGGAACCCAGTTTCCTCCCTTCTGGAGCACGGGCTTTGCTGGACATTCTGAGCAAAGAGCTGACTGGGGCAGTGTGCCAGGCAGTGGACTCGGTATTACAAAAGGTACTACTGGATCCGCCAGGCCACCTGACTCACCTGGGCAGAAGCTTCCAGGGGCTGGATTCAGAGGGTAGACGTGAGCCCTCACCTCCTGAGGGAGATGCCTGCCAAGATCCACTTCCCAGGAGGGCCCAGTCACAGGCTGGGGGTCCACTGGGAAACTTATCACTGGCCACTTCTCTGGAGTCTCCTAGGTATCCTATCTCTCCAAGGATGATCCCCAAACCCTATCAGGGCCCCCCAGCAAACTGTCCCTTGACTATGCCTTCCCACACCCAGGAAAATCAGATGCTTAGCCAGCTCCTGAGTCATGGACCCAACCGCCACTGGAACAGCAGTCTTCCCAGGGACTCACCTTCCCAAGGTCACCCCTGCTCAGAGTCGGCCCTTCCACCTCGGGGAGCTGTCAAGCTGCGGCCCTCGGTTTTGAGCCAGCAGCAGTGTCCCTTGCCCTTCACTTGCACCCGTGTGGAGAGACGGTCCCTTCTTCCCTCGGTGAAGATAGAACAGGGCGGCCGCCAGGGGGTCGCCGACGCACTGCCTTTCTCTTCAGTCCACATATCCTTTACGTCATTGCAGTTCTCAGAGTCACAGCCCAGAGAAACAGGGACTCTGGAAGATGGGGGTGGGGAGTGGGCACAAGGAATCGCTGTTTTCCTGATGGTCTTCATCTTGCTTCTGGGCCTTCCTTCCCTGGGGCTCAGTTGTTAGGCTCCTGAGAAAGTAGTAACCACATTCTGGGATTTAAGGATGTGACAGTTCTTCTGTAACACATCAGATTCTCCCACTACTGACTATTCCATTAGGTCTGAAACAACTTGATCTGCTTGTTTTTAAACACAGATGGGCTTCCAAAGTAAGCAAGTCCCCCAGGGAAGGAAGAACCCCATAATTTGGTTGTCAGTTGCCCATATACCCAGGCAGAGGGTCAAGGGCATTAGCTAAGAACAGGCTCCCCCATCCTCTTGGCTCTACTGGTAAAAAGCCTGAGCTGTCTATTAATTTATGAGAAAGATATGAGGGACCAGAAACTTCTGGGGTTTCTGAGATGGGGAAGTTTTCCACAGAGACCACACTTGAAAGGTAGCAGAAGGGGTCAGAAGCTTTCAGTTTAAGGAGCAGCTTCTAAGCTGCAGCTGAGAGGACTAGAGCATGGGGGCTGAGCATGTGCGGGGAGAAGGCCCCATGGGGAAGGTGGAACACCTCAGGCTGGTCTGCAGGGATCTGGATCTGACTGCAGCACCTTTGCAACCCTTAGGCAGACCTCATGCTTTTAAACAGTGTTTCACAGCATAATCCTCCCTCAGTCACTGCATCAGAAGGAAAGTAGCTTGGATAAATACTGGGGTAGTTGCTTTACTGCAGGACTTCTCAATATGCTGAAGCCCGATGTGAAGCTCTAAACTCATGACCATAAATAACCCTCATCAACAAGCATCTTGCACGACCAAAGTTCCTGAGAACATCCTTTGGGTGTTGTTTTTGGGGGGGTGCAGAGACCACACTTCTACTTCTCAAGGGCAGCATTGTTTCCAGAGTTCAGTGTGTCAGTGGAGTCTCCTATCTAGGTGTGAACAGTTGTGTCCTCTGCCAGCGAGCTGTAGTAAGGTCAGCAGGAGAGGGTGGTACCAGCTCACTGCCACACCAGGGCCAGTTGTGTCCTAAATGCTGTGAGCGCCACCTGCTGGTCACAGATGTTGGCAATCAGCCCAAAGCTTGGGAGTTAGGTGGTTGGGCAGTGAGTGATCAATTACAAACCCCACACTAAGAACACCTCACCCGCCACCACGGCTTCTTCAGGCAGTAGGGAAGCTTCTTGGAGATGTACAGATACAGGATAGATAGACTTTCTGTATGAGAAAGACTACCTGTCTGGACCTTTGATAAGAGACCACTAATTAAGAAACCCCATTTAAGTCAGGGCAGAAGGACTGCAAGAACTTGGTCCCAGAGTCTCTCTTGTACTTCTCTTGGGAGGAGCATGCTGATATTTCAGGCACCTCCTGTGTGCATGGCCCTGCCCCGTGAAGTGAGCAGTCAGAGCTTAATTATCCTAAAGGTCTCAGACCAGCCCCTGGGGTATCCCTGGGAACACTGTTATACAGTGTTCATGCATAGGAATCTACTTCCCTCCAACCCTGGTGCTAGGCAGCCACACCACAGGGCCCTGCTCTGATTAAAGGGCAAGTAACCTTATTAAACAATAAGGTATGGGTTGAAATATACTTTCCTCATTTGTATATGGATTAAGGCTGACCATCACTCATTCCTTTATCCAACAAACATTTATTGAGCATCTAGTATGTTCTTAGCACTGGGTTAGGCATGTGGGGTAAAAGGCAAAAAGATAAAGAAGGTCCTTGCCTTCAAGGAGCTCACAGTATAAACGAGGAGACGAACATGCAGTAAAAATTACAGTAAAGTCACAGCTATAACAGCGATTTGTACAAAGAGCTCTGGTAGCCCAGGGTTAGGGAGGCCTAGTTCTTAAGGAAAAGTTTCACAGAGGAGGGAGTGTCTGAGCTGAGGCAGGAAGGATGAGAGAGAGTTCTGCCAGGCAGATGGAGCACAGATGCAGCCTGCAGTCCAAGCAGCTGCTGGAGCCAAAGCAGAGTCTGGCGCATTCAGTCGACTCCAGACAGTTGGCTTAAACACGGCGAAGGCAATCTTGAGAGCCAGAGTGGAGACCATTTAGTCAACTCTCATTTCACAGACGAGGAAACTGAAGCAGAGAGGGGAAGTAAATCTCTACTTGGGTTTCTAAAAAAGTTTCTCTCTTCCCTTCCTATTCAGATAACCACAATAGATTACTTAATATGTATGTCATACAATTTTTGCACATCAAAATGCTTTTGTAAATTATGACTTTACAGAACATGTATGGTGTTCACCATCTGCAAAGAAAAGACTTATCAGACTTGCAAGAGACAGAAAACAATGAAGCACATACACCATTCAACCAGCAGAAATATACAGAGAAACCATAAAGAACAGGGAAATTCACTACTTGGATAATCTGATAAATTTGAGAAACTGGTATGCATTTTCCTTGACTCCAGGATAAATTCAGGAGGCCCTAAATCCTGGTCACTTGAAGAAAGCCAAACTAATGTTTTTCTTCACACGCTACCCCAGCTCCAATCTCCTGAAGGCCTATTTCCCTGATGTTCAGGTAAAGTCAGTCAACTCAATTTCAGCTTCTACAAAACTCCCAAGTGACAGTGGGTTTTACCCACTGAGACATCATCTGTGCACCCCATGTCCCCATTCAAGCTGTGGATGGAATCCGTACAATGTCCAGTTCCGGGCTAGGCCTCTGCCCAAATAGTCATGAATAACTTTGGGCTAGGAGGGTTGGGTATCTGAATTTTTAAGTTTTTGAGCTATAGATAAACCCAGAAACATGAGGGAAAGGATGGAAGGGGAAGAGAGAAAACTTCATAAATGGCATCTCTGGCTCTGTCTTTGCTGGGGACACTATGAAAAAAGAAAGAATATAAATAGTTGGTGCCAAATTTACATTCAAACTGCTATGTTTCAAAATTGAGTGAAAGTGAAAAGAGATCAAGCCCAATGGGGAAAATCAAGTTCTGATAGTTAGAACCAGACCAGGGTGTTCCTGTGAAGTCTCTGGGTGTTGAGTAGGGCTCTGAATACTTTGTATCTTTATCATTTCTTTGCTTTTTTGTCAGATCTTTCCCTCATGCTGTTGTTTGGTTGATCCCTGCACCAAGCTCTGACTTCCATTCATTTTGCAATTCCAAGTTACTCCCTAATCTACATCTTCATCCACATCTTCCCTTGGCCCTTTACTTGCTTGGGGCTGCCATGCAATCCACCTGCTTGCTGCAGTCGGACTTGACCCTTAGCCCGTTATAAAGTCACACTTATACACACCGTGGAAAGGTTTTCATGGGTGAAAAATCTTTTTAAACCTAGTATAACATTATTTTCTACAGGGTATTGTAGCTATTCAGATTTTTCTGCGTATTTTAGCTGTGGCTTCTTTTAAAGGTTGGTGGAAGCATTCTTATTAACCTCTTTGTTGAACCAGAGAGCTGATAGTTCTGTCTCTGAGCACCTTATGACAAACGTCTGACTTGATGGACCTCATTGTTTGTACAGTTCAATCGATGCATAACCTCCCAGATGATCAAGTGGTTCAGCAACTTTCGTGAGTTTTATTATATCCAGATGGAGAAATTTGCCCGGCAAGCAATTTCAGATGGTGTCACAAATCCCAAAACGCTGGTGGTTCTGCGCGACTCAGAACTTTTTCGAGCTCTCAATATGCATTATAACAAGGGGAATGACTTTGAGGTAAGAACATGAACTTGGTCCCCTGAGTACCTTCCCTTTCTGATTGGAGTGTTAGAAAAGTTGCCCTTCTGTGTCCTTACATCATCGAGAGCCATAGTCTCAAGCTCTTCTCTTAGGCAATGGGTATCTGCATGCTGCAAACAGAATACCCACCAGTCTTCATTCTGAAACTTAAGCAGAAGTCTGCAGGTACTACGCCATTTCAGACTTAATGCTCTTTAGCGTTCAAGTTACATCACTTGGTAACCTTTTTGCTTTTGCACTAGGAGGCCTGGGAATAAATGCTAGGCTCTGCTGTAGCACCTGGTCTACATTCTGTGTTCATTTTATCACTTGGTTCTTTATTCATACCGGAACAGCTTTTTGGGCCTTCCATGGTGAGTCACTTCAGATCCTTTCTGGAAATAATGAGTAAACAATACTCAAGTGTTCCCATCCATGGGGATCTCTATGGAAGGCACACTGGTGGCACCTTAGAGGTAAAGCATCAGTGATGGGTTAGCAAGTGCCTAGGTGTCATTGGTGAGAACACACATTTCCTCATGTATGGTGGTCAGCTTTTTTGAGCTGGCATCTAGTTCTATAGGTGCCCGGTCTGTCTGGTCATCGATATACTTTTCTCGGCTTTATCACTTGACTGTGATCATAAAGAGGAGCTTATTCATACCTCCAAGAAAGGGAAGAACCGCTGGCATCCACTGGTCAGATGCTCCATCAGAATGTTTGGAATGTTTACCTGAGGGTAAAATGGACCATGTGTCTTTTCTGAGGCTCATGGGAGGAGCATTTTTCCACAGGAGGTGGTCATTGGGCACAATGGTGGCATGCCCTGGGTCAGGCCAGGTCCCAAGGATCTGTGGGATGTCCTACCACAAGGTGCCATTCTGGATGAAGTCCTGGAACATATTTCTGAGTCCCTGTCAACCCCATGGCTGGCTTAAGAAGCAGGGATGATTCCAAGTGGCTTTGGCTCCAGCCCCAAAACATATTGGGATGAGGCACAGCAATAGTAAGCTTAGGGGCACTCCTTCCTTTCTTATCAGGCACTGAGAAAAAGAATATTAAAACCTTTTTTGAGTCACAGATTTAGTTTCCATCAGTCAGTTTCCCACTTACTAAAAACATCACCCATTAGAGAATCAGCTCCTCCTACAAAGGGAGTGTCCATAACATTTCTCCATTCTCTCCATTGGTACATTGTAAAATTTTTGTTTGATGAGGGAGCAGAGGCTCCCAGGACTGCAAAAAGCAGGGGCCAGTAGAGCAGGGATGCTCTTATCGGCCCACCACCCAAGGAACAGGCAGCCGCAGGCAGTGAGGTCTCCATAGCACATGAGCTCCACAGCCTCACGTCTTTTCTTTCTTGTGGGTCTCTTTGGGTATGCAGGTCCCTGATTGCTTCTTGGAAATTGCCAGCTTGACATTACAGGAGTTCTTCAGAGCAGTCTCCGCAGGGAAAGACTCAGATCCTTCCTGGAAGAAACCCATTTATAAAATTATTTCAAAACTGGACAGTGTCATCCCAGAGATATTTAAATCTTCCAGCTATCCCCCAGAGCTGTTTCGGAATTAAGATCCCACAAACTGAGAAGCTACCATCACTTAAGGGAAAAAACAGGCTTTTTCTTAAGTGGCACTCAGTAAAGATATAGTCATATTAAAAAGGGCATGAGGAATCCCCCCACCCCCTCGCCGGCAACCCTAAATAGGTACTATAATCATTTCTGATGATTTATTTCCTTTCCTAGAACCATCAGAGGCTTAACCTTAACTCAAAAGGTATCAACCAAGTGTATTGGTATGCTGGTAGCATGTTGTAAAAGGGACACAACAGTTTGGTACCAGAAGATTCAAATCTGCAGTGTTTCCAGGTATCCTGTCCCTGGGAACTCAGCAGTATTCTGCATTTTTGTAGGGATGAAAAGACTGTGTATCCCAAAGCAATTCTGTAAAACGTTACTACCAAATACCAAGTTTTTCCCCCTCCCCTTGGCGTTCAGATAAGGTTATTTTATTTGGGGCTTTTACAAATTGTTGTTTTTAGCTACTGATTTTTCAAGTTCTGCCTATTTGCTAGACAATTTCATTATCTTTACGCTCTTAACCCTGAAACGTACTATCTTCATTTAAAGAATAACCAAAGAAAAGTTTTATAACTACAAGGTAATTCACCAAAGGCTGTAAGGCTGGAGCATTTGGGTTAGAGGACGATCAGGAATGTGAAGGAATCTCAGACCGTCTGTGCCAGACTGTGCCGGATCATCCCTGCTGCCTCTCTGGATCTCCATCCCCAGTGAGCACTTATGGGACACTGTCAGCTGACAACCCCTGCCTAGTGCTTCATCTCCCAAGATTTTCCACAGATCATGCCAGCACTCCCAACATAAACTCTCTCAAGGATCAGAGTGTTGCTATTCATTCACGTTTCTCTGCTAGAAGAGTTTATCAGATGGACAACCCAAACTGTCTCTAGTTGACCAGTGCAATTGATGCCACAACCTCATGTGCAAAAGAAACTGAGCATCAGATGGTGAAAGCTAGAAAAGGTCTTAGATCATCTGATCCACCCTACTTAAATTAGGAAGGAGGCAACTGAGATCCATACAGGAAGCATGAAGAGCTTCACAAGTGATAAATGGCATAAGTGGGACAAACACAGCATCACACACCACAGTAGAAATTCTCCTACCCCCTCTACTGACCCAACACAAATTATGACTCACTCTGAACAGAGGCAAAATATCTGCAAAGTTACATATCCGCTGTCTTCTAGGCTGGTCGGAATCAAGTCTTTTAAAGCACTGCCAAAGGTGTGCATGCTAGGGTGGGGATCACAGTGACCACTCAGATTAAGGGGCACATGTGACTTCATTAGCTTATGTTTTTCCCCATCTAGTGATACATAAAACAAGTTTCTATATTCAACCACCTCACTTCCTTTTTGGGTGGGTGCATCAGGCGAGATAAATTCCCTAAATGATTGCTAGATATAGCAACATAGAAAGGTATGAAACATTTCTTTTGAATTTTCTTATTTCAAACCACCAAGAGGAAAAAGCAAACATACTCAGCCCAAATTAATCTTTTCAGGTTGTCTTCAGATGGTTTTTTGAGTGTCCTTCAACACATCCAGTTGCACTCAGATGGTCTCTACCCTCTTCCCTCCCACCATGTTCCCTTCACAAAAGTGAAGAAATCTGTCAAATCAGTTTTAGAAGGAGGCAAAAGCACTGAGTGCCCTGAGCAGTCAGTCATCTGTGGTTGGAAACAGCAGAAGAGCCCGCTATCCAGAGTGACGTCACGTAGCTATTTACGACATCCATGGGAAACAATTCCCAGTTCACATGATTATCCAATATGGAGCAGACTTTTTCTGTCCCGTCTGAAATTCATTAGTGTGTGTTTTAAAGACTGAGCCAAGCCACCTCCAGGGCAGGAAACCTTGTCCCAGGGACCAACTGGATGAACTGTACAAGCTCAAATTGAAGCCATTTGTGTACTGCAGCCGTTCCAGGCAGTGTTCTCTAACCACTGAGCTAAATACAGAAGAATGTACAAATATATATGCTGCGCCAACAGAAGAATTCTATTTCATTATATTTTTCTGTTTCTACCAAGTTTATCTCTTTCTCTGTTGGGAACACATTCTGAGTGTAAGCTGAGCTGGTCATTATGTTCTTCTAGCAGTCATAACAATGCTAAAGGTTTGGCCATTCTTTCTATAAGGTATATGTGGGTATATGTGGGCACTATTCTTTCCCAAAGTAGACACGATCAGAATCTGGTCAATTCCTGCCTAATCCTTCAATGGTAGACAGTAAGGCCTGCCATGGTCTACAGTGATAGTACTATTGTCACATTAATACCCAACTATTGATTAAACGCACTTAATTGGCATTCCATGCAGGAAAAGGTTTACTAGGAACCTCTATTTCAAACTTGGTTTTATACAGTATGCAAGGTTCCAAACTGGATTTACACATTGAAGAGGTCAAACACATCATCTCCTGGGTGTATAAGGTATGCCTGAACCATTTCCTTTCCATCAGAGAAAGGGCAAAGCCTAAGTGGCAAATAGAGTTAACATAGCCCTCCTAAGTTTCACACCTCAGCCCCACCACTAAGTGGAGGTCCAAAGGTCCACTTTTCAAAAATATCTTTGTTTTCAAAGACAAAATATAGAATCCTCAGGAATAAATAACTTGGAATAAGACTTCATAATTTTACACAAGGCTTTAGAAAATATTTTTTAAAGTCCTGATAAAACTAACAAAAATTTTGGTAACAAGTTTGTTGAAGTTCTATACATTGTAAGTTTTTATCATCTTCAATTCTAGCACTTTATTTCTAGCTCTTTTCTTTATAGTTTTGACCCTTTGCTCTGTAAATCAGTTTGCTGATTCATGTCTTAACGACAAAATAGAAATTCAAAAAATCCTCTGGCATTTTTACATGAACTCTATTAGGCATTTGCATAGTTTCACACAGTACACGATCCTTTTCTCAGGATTGAGAAAATCAGAAAAGATAATGAAATAGAGTGATAGATGGGAAAGAGATAAAAAATACATTAGTTAAAATTAAGTTATAGCTCTATCATGATGATAAAACTACATACATATGAATTTTAATAAGTGCTCCACAATTCTTAACAGTTACTTCGCAGAGTTGGATGTTTTGGGAGGAAAGGATAAGCTTGCAACAATATGGCAAAAATAATGCTCATGAAAAGACATCCTTGTTCAAATTTAAACATGTACAACACACACTGTAAAGAATGAGCTCTGTTACTTGAGAGCATGCTGTATCTCATGGTACTTACACTTAAAACATATGTACTAAGCACTCATGGAAAGAATATTTTTCAGGGGTAGACAATTCCTAAACACAAATAAGCGTCTCTTTCAGATTATAGAAAACTAGTGTAGCCAAATGCCCAGCAGTTGAATGCTGTCATATTAAAAACAAACCCAAAAAACCCCAGACACTAGCCTCCAGGAGGGAATGTTGACGTTCAGAGCAGATATTGACAGCGAAAACAGTCAAGGAATATGACCCTAAAGTTCCCCAGTTTTACTTGTCCATCTATTCAGAAAAAGCAGATGCTTCTTCTTTCACCAAGTTGTTTGGGGTTATTTTGTTTTTCACAAACTTATCTTTTCATGCTCATAAACTCTTGTTTTGCCATCTCCAAATCCTCCACGCAGCCATCACATCAGATTCTAGTCTTTCATTAGAAACCCCTTTTCCTTCCCATATTTACTGATTTTTGTGGCTCAGATTCCTATCTCCTTGGAAACTGCTTCTGTCCTGGAAGTTTAGCCGTAGGCAACAATGTTCTCTGCTTACCTTTTCCCCGATTTACTCTTAGTTATCTTTCCCCCCTCACCAACACATTTCCTAAGCAGAGGACTGTGGTAAGGGGTGTGAACTCTGGCACAAGCTTTCATCCAGGCTCAAGCACCTACCAGCTGTGAATCTCTGGAGGTTATTTACTCACTTGACCTCAGCTTTCCCCCTGCAATAAAATAGTACCCACCTATCTCATAGCACTGTTCTAAGGTTTGAGTAAAATAATACATGTGAAATTCGCAGAAAACTTTCAGTGTATAATACGTGCTTAGTGAATGTCCACTCAATTATTATTCAGCAGCCATATACTGTTAGCAAAGTCATAACGTCATACTGTTTACAGTGAAAAATTATTTCTTAGCCTAAGAAATAATAGGCACTGATGTGTGACACTGATATAAAATTTTCTGAATCTCTTACTATAACAATGCAGTTGCATGCACTAATACCTGTGGTGACAACACGAAATTTAGCTTTAAGCCAATATGTTTTCTGAAGTAAAGAAAACCCAGGTACAAAACAGCCTTGTGCTATAAACTCTGTATTTGTGTCCTCATTTACTCTTTATTACAATCCTATGTGTGTACTTGGTACATGACCTAACTATTATTGCTATTTGGTAGCTGGTTTCTAAGAGTATGACCGGTTTTGTCTTTACAGGCCAATACATTGCATTTTTGACACTCTCTTAATTATGTTTTGTGACTAATGTGATATTTCTAAAATTATTCAACTTGCCATCTTTAAGAACTGCTTTTTAGGGCTGTACTAATGTCCACTGAGTAGAACAGTTTTGGTTTGAATATTTTCTTGATTAACATGTATAGTCATTCAAAATATCGTTTTTAAGTTGTTCAACTTGTTAAAAGAGGCTGGCTTATTGCTGTGACTGGGTGGGTGTTATGAGGGAGCACATACTAACACAACCCTTAGGCAAGAATGTTCTCTCTCCTAACATTTAAAATCTTTGTTTTAATTTTAGTATAATTTGTTTTAATCATTTTCAATTGTATGGGTGTTTTCAACTTGAGAGAATAAAGGAAGTGAAAAAAAGAAAAAAAAATAAAATCTTTGTTTTCTCCTCTTCTAGCATTTAAATCTATGTTCAGGACTACATTTTCATAAAGATTAGCTTATTTTTTAATTGAAAATAATCTTGCCTAGTCAGATCAACATAGTCATCAATGTTGACTATCCATTCTAGGATATTTAAGGCCAAGAGTGTTTTAGCTATTGTTTCTGAGTAGGCTTTTTCAAACCAAGCTATAGAGACAGTGGGATTTATCAATTTCATGTTTTGCTGAATTCTCACTATATTAAATCCCTAAGAAAGCTCCCATAATTATATCTGAAAGAACGCATTCTTCACAAATACTCCAAAGCTGCTTCTGTTCAAGATTGCTTGATTTACTCAAGTTTAAACACTTCATTTCTCATCACATATCCCATTACTTCATCAGGGCTAAGCTTACTGACTCTGAACCAATCAGAACAAAACATACATACAGTTTTTCTAGATTGCAGATTTATCAGCAAATCCTGGGAAGAGAAATTTGGTACCGCCAGACTTATATTCATGAACACCTTAGTTCTGATATACTAGGTGCAAAGATAATTAACATCCTTAATACCACATGAAAGGTAGAGAGAATTATGTATCCTTAAACTCTGGAGACATTAATTACCTGAAAAATGAGTAAAAGTTTGGTATGTTAACAATACTTAGAATATGCTAAGTGATGTTTCCATTTCTTTATTGCATAAACATGCCTATGTCAAACACATCAGGTCATTTCTCCAGAAGGTTGACTGTCTTCTCATTGTTTCAGGAACTAGAAATTAGTAGTTAATTGATCAAGTCTCAAGTGTACTAAAACTTGGCATTCAGTTAATTGTGGTTGTGCAGAATTAGTGGATTTACCCCCTGTTCCTGCCCCCAGAGCAAGAGCAGTAACAGAACTTTATATATACTTATCTTTTCACTTGCTTCAAATAAAATGACCAAGATTTATCACCTCTTTATAAGGTTATTGGAAAATGCACCTTTAATGATGAACAGAACTATCTGCTGAAAAATCAGCCTGTCTTTTGCCAAGTCTTTCGGTGTTATTTTTCAATCTCATCTTTGTGCTCATAAACGCGTGTATTGTCATCTCCAAATTATCTAGAGTCAGATTCTTTCATTATAAAACCCTTTCCATTACAAAAACTATGATATCTACCACCTTCAAAGCAGCAGTCCCCAACAATACAAAATTCCTGACATCAGGTTGGTGATGAGACTACAAAGTGAATCATCATATATTGCTTAACAGTTCCCCGAAACAGTGGAATCTTGATTGTAATGGTGGTTACATGAAGCTACACAAGATAAAAATGCATAAAATACACATATGCACACACTTACAAAATCATTGGAATCTGAATAAACTGGAATACACTAATGTCAATTTTTTGGTTTGACATAACATGTTACCACAACAGGCTTAGCTTTATTTGCTCCCAATAAGCTAGATTTTCCTTTTATCTAAGCTGATTCTTGGCTTTTAAGCATATTTGGAAACTACATTAATGTTTTCCCGGTGGGTTTTATTTTGCACTTAGGAGTTTGTTATTAACAAGTTTCCTTCAACAGCTCCAACATCGTTCACAACTCAAAATTATGAACAGGGCCTCTTGGGGGCACAGGGGTTAAAGTCTCAGTGCTATCAAGCTATTGCCAGCCAGCCACTGTGGGCTGAGTTTGATCCCCAGACAGGGAGTTAACCCACATGGCACAGTAGACCTCTCCTATACTGCCCACTGCTCCCCTCGGCAGTGTATTTCAGTAGATCTGCCTGTACTGCTCTCCACTCTGTCTCTGGTTAATCCTCTCACCTCCCCAGCCCCCAGCACCTCTAGTCTATACACCTTCTATGAATAAATAAATCTTTAAAAAAAAGTTATGAACAGATCAGGCTCTTTGGTAATTGTGATTAAAGAGCCTATCTTCAGATGGAGAGGAAATAAAATTTAAAATCTCCTTTAGCTTAGTGATTCTCAAACTTGGCTGCACACTGGAACTATATGGCATGGTGGACTTTAACAACTATCAATGCCTGGATCTCACTTCCAGATTATGACTTAATTGCTATGTGGTATAGTCAGAGCTTCAGGAGTTTAACAATCCCTAGGTAATTTTTACATGCAAAGTTGATAACTAATGCTCTAACAAAATTCTTCACATGGAGCATTTTTTTAATTTCATCATTCTTCCAAACATGCACACATAAAGAATAACCGTATGTTCTAGTGCTTATGGAGTCCAAGCAATTATTCAATTAGAACCACACCAATTCTTCAATTAAGGCCTCCATTGTCAATACCTTTCCATGACATTACACTTTGGGACTGTCTTTCAGAGCTTGTAGAGAACCTATACCTAGTGAAAGCATAAGATTCATTTGAGGGCTTCCCTGGTGGCACAAGGGGTTAAGCACTGCACTCTGAAGCAATCCGCAGCCTCTGAAGCACGAGTTTGATCCCCGGCTGGCCAGGGAGCAACCCACATGGTGCAGCAGACCTCTCCTGAACTCGCCCGCTGCTCCCCTCAGTAGTGTACTTCAGTCTGCCTGTTCTGTTCCCCGCTCTGTCTCTGGCGAATCATGTACCCCCCACATCTCTGGCCTGTACCCCAGCTCTTGTATGCATAAATAAATCTTTAAAAAAAAGATCATTTGAAAAGCAGAAAATACTCAAAGTGTTTTAAAAGAAGACTAGCGTTTTGGGTTCAAAGCAGATTCCCATATATTCCTTGCCTTCATAAAAAGCAGCTTTCCCCATCATCAATATCCCCCACCAGAGTGGTACATCTGCTACAACTACATTAATATATCAGTATCACCCAAAGCCCATAGTCTTCCCTAGGGTTCA